GGTTTTGATTTCACCAATATTTCATGCCTTATATATCTAACAGTATCATTGGTGGAATATAAACATGTACATTTTCTCTAAATAATGCTGTTACGTTTGGCCATTAAGTCATATTTTTCTTAAGAAATTATAATTTCAACATTAAAAATGCTGTCTAAAAAAACAGTGACTGAACTATTGTATGGTTTTCAAGCTCTGGGGCCATTATTGGTTCATGCTTTATTGATATATTCAAAGTTTTGTATGTATATGTATGTGTGTGTGTATATATATATATGTATACACATCCATATTTTTTCAAAACTTGTGGATATAATTCTTGTTAGTATAAAAGCTTTGTTTATAAATGAAGCTTTGTATATTGCAAATATTATGTTTGAAGCCAAAGAAATGTTTTAGTTTGGTTACTCATAATTTTATCCACAAAAATCACTTTGGAATGATTCACCAAATAATTTATTTCAGCCAAGAGATATGCTTGGAATTAAAAAAAGGTTTGAGATGAATGAATACTGACTTTTGGAAGATTTCCCTCAAGCTGATGAAAAGGAAGAATTTGAAAGCTGTCAATGTTCTTATTTAAGTAAACAAACAAAACCCAAAGAAATCTACCAAATGGGAAGAATAATGGATCAATAATTTTGTTTTGTCATTTATTTTCATAAAATTTTATAAACAGACCTGTTATACAGACCTATACCCTTTGGGCTTATCTTATATAATAATGTTCAGGCTGCTCCTATGGTCACAATGTGTCCTTCCAAAATTTATATGTTGAACTCAACCCCCAATATAATAATTTTAAGAAGTGGTCAGGAGGTGATCAGATGACATAATTAAAAAGCAATAGAATTCTAATTAAAAACATAAAAAAAGTGATAGATCTGCTTCTGCCTGCTGGTTGCTGCCACCAGAAGACCCCTTTCTATGGGCATTCAGAGTGCACAGAGAGAGCCAGACAGATCCACCTCTGCCTGTTGGATACTGCCACTGGAAGGCTCCTTTCTGTGGGCAGCCAACAGAAACAGGGACACACAGCCAGGTAAGACCCATGTACCTGTAGATCACCATTGGAGGCCCTTGGTTCCTCCAGGCAGCCATCAGCCACCAGGAGAATTAAAAAAACAAAACAAAACAAACACCTCTGTGTGTCTGCCAGCAGTGTAGGAGTGCCAGTGAAGACACACAGGCTGAGAGAAGCAGCCCCTCTGTGCACCCCTGATCATCAGGGAAACTGCAGTGTAGCTGCACAAGTCTGGAGAAGCCTGTCCCATGCCCTGCTATCTCCCTGTAAATCTTGGGCCAGAGGAACACAGGTGCCTGTCCCTTTCTCCTACACTGCCTAGAGGCAGCCAACATGAGAAGTGTCTGGGGCCCTACAACCAGCTTGTTGGGTGGAACTCTGGAGAATATAAAGATGAAGCAGCAAAAAGCAATCTCAGACCTCCAGTCCACACAGAACAAGTCTGCGAGATACAGTCATGGAAGAAAATGGAAATCACACACCTGAAATCCCTGAGAGAATAGCAACTGAAGTAAACAACTTCATGAAATTGTAAAAGCAATCAAATCAGAAATAATGTCTCAAGAAATCACAAACATACTGAAAGAATTGTTCAGTATATCCCAAGAAGACGTAGATAAAAAAGAGGCACATAGGAAAATGATAGAAACTGGAATATAGAAAGGAATTACAATGCATGAAACAGATTCAAAGAGAGATACAAGAAATTAAAAAGTCAGTCAAAAGCTGACAAAAATGTTTGAAAGAGACTGACGATAGACTCAAACCTTCAAGATAGGATTGCAGCTAGCGATCATGAAAGGAAAGATCTCTTAAAAATAACATGGAATCAGGAAATAACAATTCAGAAGTTGAAAGATGACACAAAGAAGCATAATCTAAGAATGATAGGTGTTGGTGAAGAAGCAGGGGTCAACACAAATGAAATTAAAAGGCTATTTACAGAAGTAATAGCAGAAAACTTCCCAAACACGAGAAATGGATTTGGCATGCAGATAAGTGAGGCATATAGAACTCCAACAAAGCCATAAGAAAAATAAATCTATACCCAGACATATAATAAGATCTGAGAGATTCAGCCCAAGAACAGAATATTAAAAGCTATTAGAGAAAAGAAACAGATTACCTATAAAGGAAACCCCATCAGAATTAAGGCAGACTTATCAAGTCAAGAAGAGTTTGGAGTAAAATGTTTCAAACCCTGAAAGAAAACAACTTCCAACCCAGATGGATGTATTCTGCAAGACTATCATTCAAAATTGATGGAAAAATAAGATACTTCCATGTTAAAAAACTGAAGGAATTCATGACTACCAAACCAACCCTCCTGAGAGTGCTAAAGGATATTCTAGAGAGAAATAAAAATGAGCATGGTTCCAGGAATGGCAGCAGAGGAGGATCACCAAACAAGACAGGCAGTTGAATGAAAGGGAAAAGTGAGGACCAACAACAGGAGGATAGCATGGCAGAGACAAACCAATGTATGCTGGTTGTAACCATTAATGTAGATGGCCTCAGATCAGCAATAAAAAGAAAAACAAGGAGAGTGGCTCAAGAAACAAAATCCACCCAGGGGTTTAGCTCAATGGTATAAGTGCCTGCTTGACAAATGTGAGGTTGTGAGTTCAAATCTGGCACTGAAAAAAAAAAGTAGAAACAAGATCCATCAATATATTGTATACAAGAAACACAATTAACTGGAAAGGAAATTCATAGACTAAAATTCAAAGGAGAGAAAACAATTGTTCCATGTGACAGGAGACCAGAAAAAAAGCAAAGGTAACTTACCCATCAACCACAGGATGGATAAGAAAGATATGGTATTTTCATGCAGTGGAAAGCTACTCAGCTGTAAAGTAGAATAATCTCAAAGCTCTTGTAAGTAAATGAATGCAACTGGAGATCATGTTTATAGGTTAAACAGTTTGAACTCATACACATGAACCCTAGGAAACAGAAGGAGTTAATGAGATCCAAAAGCAAAATAGTTATTATAAGAGTGATAGGGGAGGAAACATCTAGGAAGGAAAGGTGGTAACTACTGTTAATTTCTTATTGTCTTGTCTTGAACTCTTGTATTGTTTTCACAATTTTGTTAGGTTTGTTTTTGTTCTGTCTTGTTAGATTTTACTTTGTCTGATGGTATGGACAGCTATTTTGAACATAATGGGATGTGTTATGGCAATCATGGTTGGTTTCCTATTATACTGAAGCCTTACAATGCTTTAATTGGTTTTATTGTTTTATTTGATTTTATTATGTCTGATGGTATGAACAGCTATTTTGAAGAAAATAAGACATTATAGTAGCCATTGCTGATTTCCTGTCCTCTTGTTATGAAGTCCTATCATGCTGCTGTTCTTTTGTTTTGATTGGCTCTACTCTGTTGCTTTGATTTTATTATGTGTGATGGTATGGACAACTTTTTTGAGGAAAATGATAGCCATTGTTCACTTCCTGTTATCTGGTTTTAAAGTCCTACAATGCTTTCATTCTTTTGATTGGTTTTATACTATTTTGTTATGTTTGATGTTATTGTGTGTGAGGTATGCCCTACTATTTTGAAGAAAACAAGAGACATTATGGTAGCCACTGTTGATGTCCTGCTGTCTTGGTGTGAAGTCCTGTGTTGTTTACATTGTTGTTTTTATTTGCTTTGCTTTGTTTTGTTGTTTTACTCTCTTTAAAATAAAAAAAGAAAATCCCAAGGCATTATTTATTCATCTTTTGCCATGTGAAGATGCTTAAAAGGCACCATCTATGAGAAACAGGGCTTCACCCAATGTCTAATCTATAATGCCTTGATTATGGGCTTCCCAGTCTCTGAAACTGTTAGCAACAAATTTCTGTTATGTTATCTGGCCTACAATATTTTGTTATGGTAGCTAGAACAAGGTAAGATGTCAGGTTACTATACCTCACAAAGGATACATTGACCAGATTACTATTACTAAAAAGGCTAATTCTTTGTTTGATGCACACATCGACAAGCAACTTTTCTCTATGTTGGAGTCTTTCTTTCTGTTAGAGTGGGAAGTAAGTCTATTTCTGTGTGAGTAAACAACATGGTTCTCCAAGCTCTAATTCTGCAGAGATTTTTTTTTTTTTTGGTATGAGGGAGTTGAACACACAACATCATGGCTGACGAGCAGGTCTGTGCCGTTGAACTATATCCCCAGTCCTCTGCAGATACATTATCATTTGTTGGGCCAGGATATAGCTCAGCGGCATAGTGCCTGCTGGGCAAGTGTGAGGTTGTGAGTTTGATTCCTAATACCAAAAGAAAAAGAAAGTCTACTATCCAATTATCACTTGTCATCTGCTAATATTAAAACACATGTGGTTTTTTCCATTCATGTAGGTTCTTCGGTATGTCATTTCTCCTTTTTGGGCAGGCAAGGGAGGAAAGTGTGTCAGTTTAAATTGTTGAGTGCAGCCTCTATGTTTGGATACCTGTCTAGAAGACTTGCCTGTAAGCATCATGTTTGGCTCACTAAGGCAGCGATTCTTTTTTTCTTTTTTTTTTTTTTAATTTTTTTAAATTAAAAAAAAATTTTTTTTTTCTTTTTTCCAGTACTGGGGATTGAACTCACGACCACCTGCTTGCAAGGCAGGTGCTTATGCCGCTGAGCTAAATTCCCAGCCCCAGCAATTCTTACTTTCAAATAAGAATAAGGTCTATGGGCAGAACAGGTATTGGCCTTGTGTGCTGTGGTTTGAGTTGTCTCCAAAAGTTCATGTATTGGAATCATGTGCAATAATGTTGGGAGGTAGGGCATAAAATGAAGCAATTACATTATGAGGGCTCTGCCCTTCACTACTTAACGCCTTTGTTTTTGGGAATGTAATATGATGCAGCTACTTTTAAAGATGGGTTGACAGCTTTTTTTTCAAAATTAAATATAACCATGTGACTCAGAAATTCTATCCCCACTAAACTACTTAATAGAAATAAAAACATTGTCCATACAGAGACTTGTATGCCAACATTCATAACAGCTTTATTCAAGATGTCCCCCTAATCTGACAATCCAAATAAATGTCCACCAAGTGGTAAAGTGGATATATGAAACAATTTATTCATGCAGTATAGTACTATTGAGCAATACAACGAAGAACAAAATACCAGCACATTCTACAACATAATACAGACAACAAAAATATTGGTAAGTGAAAGAACTTAGATGCAAAAACCTATATATTACATGAGTACATTTATAAGAAATGTCCAGGTAAATCTATAAAGTAGTTCAGTGGCTGCCTGGAGTTGGGGATGAGAATAGAGCACAACTGCAGATGCATATTAATCTTTTGGGGGTGATGGAAATGTCCTAAAAGTGGATTGTGGCAAAGGTTATACAACTTTATAAACTTAGTAAAAGTCATTGACTCATACCCTTGAAATGGATAACTTTTCTGGCATGTAAACTGTTTCTCATTGTCATTCTGTTATTCATTGTTATTGTTATTCTGAGATAAGTCAGGTTGGCCTTGAATTGATTATGTAGCCCAGGCTCACCTCAAACCTATAATCTTTTTGCTTTAGCCTTTGCAGTTCTGGAGGCCTTTGCAGGCATACACTACCACACCCAGTTTAAATTATTTTATGAAATTGTTAGTGATTAAATGAATTTAACCTATGGCTAGTGGCTAGCATATCATTCTCAAAAATGATGTAGTCTCTGACTGATGTAGTCTTCTAGACTGAGCCCTAATGCCTCAGAAGGCAAGGATAACAATTGGTTACATCTAGTATGTACTCTGAATGCTTACTATGTGCAGGCTCTGTGCTGTGTACATAACCTCTTTTTATCTTCATAAGAATTCCTTGACAGATAGTGAAATAAGCCTACAACGAAATGGAAACTTCACTTAAGGCCACAGGACCAGGACATGAAGAAACTTTTTTTTAAATAATTTTTTTTATTTTAAAGAGGGCAAAATTAAACACAACAAAACAGAATGTAAGAAACCAATGTAAGAGACATAAATTTCAAAGCAAGACAGAGATCTTATATCGTCTCTTGTTTTCTTCCAAATAGTTGTCCATATCTTCACATACAGAGAATTCACATGAAACAACATAGTATAGAACTGACCTGAATAGGATGAGGAAGGCGTTTTAGGTCTTCAAGACCTGAAAATAGGGAAGTCAACATAGTGTCTCTCATTTTCTTCAAAGTAATTGTCCATATCTTCATGTATGTTGAAATTATAGAAAACAAAACAGGCTAAAATCACTTTGAACAAAGAATGGTAGTATTGCTGGATTTCACATCATGACACCTTGGAATCAGTACTGGGTACTGTAGTGTCTCTTTTTCTTCAAAGCAGTTCTTCATTTCATCATGCATTGTATAATTAGTTCTCATAAATTGTTTATAGGTTCTACAGATGTATGAGTCTCTACATGTATTTCTATCCTTTCTGTATTAGAGGCAAAAACAAAGCATAGCAAGACAAAACAAAACAAACTCCTATAAAAACATGAAATGAAAAAGTTATATAAAACCACAGTACAAGGTGATATGGTTACTGTGTTGTCTCTTGTTATCTTCAATAGAATCGTCCATATCATCAGGCATAGTATAATTGAATATAGCAGTGCATGACAATATTAATAAAAACAAAACATTGTAGACAGTGTAAAACTTCAAAAGCAATAATCAAAACCAGAGCAAGTATCCTAGTGAATCTTGTCATCTTCAGTGTAGTTTCCTGTTTTCAGACTTGATACTATCAACCATAACAGATTTGAATAAAATCTGTCAATAAAAACTGCAATCTAACAAACCAGGTTCAACTAAGTAAGATCAGTCATGATAAAACAGTGTAAATTATACAAGGCTTCAGATTAAGTTAATGGGAAATTAGGGATGATTGCCATACTATATCCTGCTATTTTCGGGATAGCTGTCTGTGCCCTCAAATCTAGTACAAGTAAACCATCTGGAACAGAATATAATACATCTAAACAAAGCAGTGTAAGTAATGTGGGTTTTAAGTCCTGATTCACTATTAATAAAATCCTCTGCCTTCTTTTTTAAGACTATTCCTCCTCTCTCACTTTCACAGGGTGCTGCACATTGAGTTCTACCAACTCCCTCAGTTTTTAGATTGGTGGGGGCAACCTGCTATACTTATCACTGCTGGACTTGATCTCAAGTTGTATTTCTTTACAAACAAAAGCCTCAAGGTTTTCTTTCATTATAGCTGAGTTCTCCTCTGCACATAAGTATCTTGTCTTTCCAACCTATCTGCAGGTGCTGATTGAGTTGCGCCTGTTTCTCTCTGGTTCCCTGACATATAGAGAATTGTTTTCTCATATTTGATTTTTGGTCCATAAACCACTTTCAAGTTAATTATATTTCCTATACAGAGCATCTTGGTGGACTTTATCTCCTGATCTACTCTGCCTATGTTTCTTTCTTTTTTTTTTTAGTGTATCAAGTTCATCTATGTTAGAGATTATAGGCAACCTTCTCTGCCTCATTTCTATGCTATTTTCCTGCCATTGGTTATCTACTTTTCTCCTTCATTCCACTGTCTGCCCCGTTCATTGAGGCCTCTCTGCCACTGTTCCTGAAATCCTGGTATTTTTTTTTTCTCTCTAGAATGTCCTTCAGTATTTTCTGTAGAGTTGTATTGGTAGTCACAAATTCCCCCGGTTCCTCTGTCATGGAAGCACCTTGTTTCTCCATTAATTTCTAGAAACAGTTTTTCAGGGTATACCAATCTGGGCTGGAGATTATTTTCTTTCAGGGCTTGGAATACTTTGCTCCAAGCTCTTCTTGACTTGATGGTCTGTGTCAAGAAGTCTGCTGTGATTTTGATGGGTTTTCCTTTATAGGTGATCTCTTTTCTCTGATGGCTTTTAATATTCTGTTCTTATATTGAACTTCTGGGATCTTATTATATGTCTGGGTGTATCTCTGTTTTGGTTGTAGGTGGCTGGAGTTCTGTATGCCTCATACATCTGAATATCATTTCCTTTTCCTATGCTTGGGAAGTTTTCCTTAATTATTTCTGTGAATAGTCTATTTCCTTTTTTTTTAACTCCTGCTTTTTCATTCATGTTTTTTATTAAGTTATAGATCCTCTTGTTGTCTTCTAGCCTTTGTATTGTTACTTACTGCCTGTTTCCTTGTTATTTTTAAGAGATCTTTCCTTTCACAATCATATATTGCAAACTTGTCTTCAAGTTTTGATAAGTCTACCCTTAGTTTCTTTCAAGCAGTTTTGCCACTTTCAATGGAGTTTTTAATTTCCTGGTAATCTCTTTGAATCTGCTTCATGTACTCTAGGATTTCTTTAAATTCTACATCAAACATTTCCTTTTTTTGAGTTCATTCTTCTATCTGTGTCTTCTTGAGAAGTGCTTAGCATTTCTTTTATTACTTAAATCTTGCTTTATTTGAATATTTCTGTTTTGAGCTCCTCTATGAGGTCCTGGAGACACAGTCTGTTGATGCTGTGTCTGATATTGCATGTTTGCTGCCCTCAATCTCTTTTGTACTTACCTCTTCTGGATCAATATTCTCAGGGCTGAGGGTTGGGGCTGGGGGCGTTTTCTTAATTCTTTTGTCATGTTTTTGTTTTCTTCCATACAGGTGTATAGTAGAGGTCCTAGCCCCTTTCCTTGTTGCTTATGGTTCTTCTGAAGCATGCTGGCTAGGGATCTCTGTCCTCTCGAGTTTGCTGTTGGTCACTGAGGTGCAAGCAGTGGTGGTGTATGCTGGTCCCTCCCTTCCGGGTCAGTCAACCTGTGGGGGACTTCATTGTGTTAGTGTGTGCTGCATGTACTGAATTGGTTTGGGAACTTACTGGGTCCCGGCCAGGGGCATGACCCAGGTCAAGCAAATCTCACTCATCTGCTCTGGGAAGGGAGTAACTGACTGAACTACCATTCCCAGTTCAGGTCCGTCTTGACTATGTTGTCCAGTTGGTCACCCCTTTCCCATGCGAGGGTCTTGTTTCCAGCATTCACCACAGGTTAACGCAGGCCCCTTGCTGGCTCTGTTCTCCATTTGGTTCACTGACCTCCGACTTCAGCGTGACTGTGGCTCTGGCGAGTTGCAGTGGTGCTAGTTCAGGTGGCTCTGGCGAGTTGCGGCAGCATGAATTTTGGCCACTCTGGCGAGAGCACCATAACTCTTAATCTTAGCTGTTCCAATGCTAGCCCCAGAACTGCATGTTTGACCAGCTCATTTCCCTTTAGTTTCTTCCTGGGTCAAGAGGATCCATCTCCTTCTGTCCTAACCTCTCCAAAATGTTTCATTCTGGATCTGAGTTCTTTCTCTCAGGGAGGCTCTGTATGCTGTTGTTTATCAATCCGCCATCTTTAGCTCCTCCATGAAGAATCTTATATCCAACAAATGTAAAACTGTCTCAATGTGTTAGAACCTTAAAGCTCTAAACTTCTAGCTCTAAACTTCTGGGTTCATCTGGATGGCTCTCATCTGGGACATCTGGGACAACTCTTCTGTGGAGTTCCTTTGGCTGGTGGAGGGCAGGTGGGTAGGATAGGGCAGTGGAGAGGGGATGAGCAGCAGACAACTTTCACTCCTTTTCTCCTATTAATGTCCAGCTAGAGCTGCTGGCCTTTTATCCTGATTATACATCTGAGGGACTTCAGTAAATGATTTATTCTAAACATTGAATTCTACTGAGCAAAAAGTAACAAGCCCCATTGTTTTAAGAAAATTAGTATTAAGTAGAATTCTGGAATACTAATTTAAAACAAATTTACTTATAGACTTGATGGTCCTGGACATACTGCTCACATTCATGTTTTCTTGGCTCCTCTAAATTTGAAGAATGCTGTAGTCCAGGTTTTTAGTTCATCAAACAATTTTCACCCATGTCTTTATTCTGAAGGGACTAAATAGCATGGGGGATATGTTTTCTATTTTCATTAGGGATATAAAGATTTCAGAATTTGATAGAGTGTCTTTTTTCCTAAATGAATCTTTTCTCCTCACTTTCTAAAAATATCATGGAAAAATATTTTAGTTTCTTCGTGTCCAGGCTAGAAATTACTAAGTAAGTTGAAAGTACCATAAATCTTATTATTTTCCTCACTTGAGGTTTTCAGAGGTCCCCTAAAGGCTATGTACCCCTCTAATGGTTTGTCATCAAGCATGGCTTTTATGGGTATACCTTTTCCACTTTTGCTTGCTTAGAAGTAACACTGGGAAGTAATGAGTGGTGTCAGAAATCAGAAGCCAGGATTTCCTTTCTGACTCTCATCTTTACCATGATTTTAAATATACTTCTTATAAAAACTGGTTCTCAGGGATGATAATCCTAGCCTTCCTGACCTCACAGGCTTAAGTTTAAATGAAAAATACTATGAGGTTATAGACTGAATATTTATACATCCTAAAACTCATATATTGAAATCCTAAACTTCAATGTGATGTATTAAGGGGTAGGGTCTTTAGGAAGATAACAGGTTATAAGAGTGTAATCTCCATGAATATAATGAATTAGTGGCCTTATATGAACAGACATGGGATAAATTTTTCTCATCAATGCCTGTCTTCAACCAGGAATTAGGTCCTCACTAGACTCCAGATCAACTGGTGCCTTAGTTTTGGACTTTCTTGCCTCCAGACTGTGAGGTATATTTTTGTTAAAGCAACCTAAACTAGGACAGAAAAACTTTGTAAAAGTATTGTAAAACTACACATGGTCACGTCACCTAAAATGAATAATGTTCTTCATTCTTCACAGGGAAGTGATACTTGTTATCTAAAGACATTTCATCTTCTCTTCCAATATGTTAAGGTTGTTTCTTTTAAAAAGAGAAAAAACTAAAAGTTGTAAGATTTGCCTTGAATTTCTAATGATCTCTATATATACAGTGGTATCTCAGTTTCTCAATGTTTTTCACTGCAAACAGTCTGCAAATAAACATGTCTGGCAAAATTTTGTTTTGCTTCACAAACTCTACATCAGTGACAAACAGAACCATGGCTATCTTCCTACATAAACACAAATGTGATCGTCTTTTCCAAAGTCGTGGAACAAATTAAATGTTAACTGAGGTACCAATGAAGTTGGTATAGGATAGACAAGGTCCAGATATATACCACATTAGAAAAAATACTAGAATACTGAACTAGTATTATTGGGTGTTTGTAACTTGAATTTTGTTATTACCATGTTATTACTGTTCTATGAAAACTAGACATTTATGTTTAAATGTATTGAATTCTGAATTCCTTTATTATATTAAAAACAAGTGATTACAAAGCAGAAGTTGTGGTTTGTGGTTTTATAACAGAGGTATTACAAAAGTGAGTATCAGAACAGTAAAGCTATATATTTTCTTTTTATAAAAGAAATCTTACATAGTTAAAAATATTGAAATATTTTTCACTTTTAAAAATCCTTGAGTTTCTATACCTAGTACATCTGACCTGACTGAGTCATATATATTTGGAATACAGCACTTCCCTTTCCCTAATTTTGTATCACTGCAGAGGAAATGTTTTTTTTTAGTATACATGATTCAAGTGGAAAAAATTTGCATTTTTAAATTCCACAGTAGTCCTTAGACTGGAAAAAAATCTTTTGGAGTAGTCATGTTTATTTCACAGTAACTCTACAGTAAAACAATCTAGTATGTTAATGCAGAAATACAAACAGCTTTGTCAAACAATATACTATTTTCAAAAGCTGCATTACAGAAATTGTTTACTCAAGATAAAAAACCCCCAAATTTCTGTTTCATTAATCAGTTTTGTAAATATTTTACCAGAGCTTCTTTGGGGGTGATGGGGCGACAAAAACTTTAAAAGCTCATATATGTCTATTTTGTTTTAGTTTGGTGTATTTATTAAGAGTAAATTCTGTATGCCTTTGCAGTTCATCAATATGTGTATTTAGAAGCTTTTCAAGTTCTTTTGCTCGCTTTTCTTCTTCCAGTAGGAAATGCTGTGCAGCCAAAGAAGCTGGGAAGGATATATCAGGGGGAGACTAAAAAGAGAAAGAAAGAAAAATGAGATGGAGAATACAGCGCCTTTTTAAATCTTCATATTTCCAGGCAGGCTTCATCTCTGACATATTGTCAAACTCTGCAGTTGTTAATGAAATAATACATCTTAAGCTGAACTCCTTCCACTAGTGTAATGTAATGCAGTTACTGCTAATGAAATCCTCAAGGAGCTAAGACAGACATCACAGCACCATTACATTAAAAAGCTCTAGAAGTGAATATTATAGTATCCAACTGCAAATGCAGGGGAAGGTAACCACCAGGGAACCTGCCTACTGTATGCTCCACTAATTTGCAAAGTCAGTGATTTTCATTTGAAAATAGGCAACTCCAAAAAGCTAAAATAAGGATTATGGCAGAATTGGTTAAATTATATATATATATATTATATGTAATATTCATAATATTCATATTTATATGCATGATTGTCCTAACAAGGGGGCTAATTGATACTTGGAGCTAACCAGGTACATAATGCTGGGTTATATCTTATTTGGGAAAATTTGAGTGATAAGTACCTAAATTTACCCACCTTGGCAATGCAGAAATGCTACTTAACTGTTTGTGACTTGTTGAATGCTTATTTACAGTAAGACAAAATGCTTATTTACAGAATAAAAAAATTAGATAATTATACAATCTTTACTTTAAAAAAACATTTAAAAACAATTTTAAAAAATACCCGGAGAAATTTGTGTCTTAATTTTTCAGTTCTGTGCTCCCTTTACTTTTATAATTTATGTTAGGAAGAATAGGACTTCATGAAATGTGGAAGAGTCAACAATCAGTATAGAAATGAATCTTGCTCTCAGAAGATTAAGTTTTCCAACTTGGTCCCTGTCAAACCAGAGATTATGGCAAAGTATAATGGAGTACTACAAACTTGTTAAAGTAGCAGTCAAGCTACAGCTCCTGTGCCAAGTGTAGCACTTTTGCTGGAGTAGACTATCACAGCTGTGGGTATACGGTTCGCTGCTGTTGATTTGGCAAGTGCATCCTTGCTAATACTCAACAACAGGGTCAAAGCAGTTCGCCTTCACATGGGATAGACAACAGTGTATGTCTACAGCCTTGCCTCCACCTGTGTTGATATTTTCACAGTATTTTCTGGAGGAACTTAGATCATAGGGATAGTCTAAAGATTATTACATAGACTAGCATATATTAATGGAAACACCAGAAGTGGCAAATTTGACAAAAGCTTGGAAAATGCACGTGTTCCAGAGATTCAAGGGCTTGACATACTATTTTTAGTAGTATGGGGGCATATCAGAACATCTAAGTAAATTACAAAAGAATAAACCTTGAAAATATGACCTACTTATTGAGTAACGTAACAGCAAACCTAGAACACTAAAGGGCTCAAGGCTGACTTTAGAATAGGGTGTAACAATCTTCTTACATGGGTCAAATGACTTGGTAGATCCTATGCTAGGAGAATATCTTATAGAAGAAAATGCCTTGTGGAATCCTTTGTAAGTCTCAGTAGAACAGGTGTATTGCAGACAGGATTCTGAAACAAGATACACTATCAGTAGCAGAAACCTATGAATTCTTTGCAAAACAACTGCTGCCATGTTGTTGAGTTATGGTTGAAACAGACAATCTAGGAAGTGGATAGCTTGTGTAATCCATCCTCTGGTATTGGTTACCCCAGTAGAAATTATGAAACAGCAGTGCTTCCCTGTCACCAATGGTAATAACTTTTGTTGCAACTGAATGTTTGGTTTGACCTACTAAAAACAGAAAATATAGCTGAGCTCCTGAGATGCACCATGCCTTAAGGAGACCAACCAGCTTCTTGGTGGCAATCTGACTGCATCTGCATCGGATGTAACCAGGTGCCTGACACTTTGGGAAGGACAATGTTTCATGCTTACCAGAACTGACATGCATTCTACGGGTTTGCCTGACTTTTCCACTGGAAAGGCAAACTATCTGAGAACTCAGTGACTGACATGCTGACATGGGAGCCAGTTTTATAGCAGACTAATTATTCTGAAATCCTAAAATTATCAGATATTAGAATAATGAAACAGTTAGCAGCTTCTCACTTTCCTCCCTATGGCTTAGCCAGAATATTAGGATTGCTTTGGGTATGTAAAGATGGAAGTCTTGTCTGTGCAGAAACATGCTCTCCATAGAGATTCTCGTAACTTTTAAACAAGGCACTTCATTTTATTTACGTTATTGGTGTAGAATTTTATTCTATTCAGAAAATGTTGGCATTTTATGTTGAAATGAAGACAAAATGAATGTTTTGGAGCTCTAGAGATCTCTAAAGCTTCAAACATTCATGGTTTAAAGCTTTCTCTTTTTACCATAATAGTTTAAATCTTAATTAGTATCAGTCTTTACCAAAGAAGGCGACAGATTCCAAAAAAGTGGAGAGTATTCATAGTATATCCTGTTCCAATAAAATATGTTCTGTTGTTTATTTATAATCTATATCCCATATTAGTTTATCATGGAGTGACACCAAAAATTACATAATATACTTTGAATAAAAGGAAAGGATAATTACTAAAAGTACTACTACATTAATTTCTGATATGAAAACTACATTTTTTTAAAAAGCTGTGGTTTTTATGTTGCCACATCAGAAAGAAGATTTCAGCAAAATAACTGAAATGATATATAATCAAATGAAAATTCAAGAACTGAAAAATACCTTTCCTACCTGCTTTATGAGGTCAACATAATCTGATACAAGACTTGACAAGGATACTAAAGGAAATTTACAGACTAATTTATCTTGTGGGTACCACATAAAAATTCTAAACCAAATATTTATAGACCAAATCCAATGATCTAATTAGGTTTATTCCAAGAATGAAAAATTGCATTAATCTATAATCAAGATAAATTATCACATTAATAGGGCAAGGCAGAAAAATTATATGGTTATTTTAATAGAGGCAAAAAGGTATTTGAGACCTATACTCCTAGCACTCAGGAGATTGAGGCAGGATTGCTGTGAGTTTGAAGCCAGCCTGGGCTACAAAGTGAATGTAAGACCAGCCTGCACTACATAGTGAAGCCTTGTCTCAAAAAGACCAAAAAAAAAAAAAGCATTTGATAAAATCCCCATCCATGAAAACATTAGCAGCCTACAAATAAAATTAAATTAATTTAATTAAATTTAATTAATCTTCTGAAAGGAATCTACCAGATATCCACAGGTGTGTGTTATTTATATACAACAGAATGTCATAGAGAAACAAAAACCAATAAACTGTAGCTAAAGGTATTGGATTTAATCCTCAGTACCACAAAACAAAGCAAAAACAAAAAAACCCAACATGGGCAATGATGAATCTCAGAAACAATATTGAGCAAAAGAAGCCAGACCCAAATGAATACATATAGTACAACATAATTTACATATAATTCACAAATGGATAAAATTTAACTAATGACTTGAAAGGTCAGGATAGTGGTTATCTTGAGAGTGAACAGAAGAGAGTGAGAAGATGCAACAGTGGAACGTGAGAGATGGTAATGTTCCATCCATTACCTGGGTGGTAGGAACGTTAATGTGCTCCATTTGTGATTATTCATCAAGCTGTCTATTTATGTTTGCACACATTTCTGTATGTATGCTGGACTCTATAAAAATGGTAGTTTTAAACAAGAACAAAAGATCACCTGTAGCTCCCTAAAATACACTGATCCTTGAAGGTACCTAGAATATTCAAGAATGAGTCCCAAATATTTGTATTTTTAAAGAGCATCACCAGTAATTCTGCCCTGCAGTGGAAGTTGACTGAAATACTTGATGACATGTTATGGGTTTCTTTATGTTCTATAGATAGGTATGGCCAATAGTACTGATCCTTGAGTCCTGTTCAAGCAATTGCCCTGTGAAACTACCATTAGTACATTAATATTAGTGTAAAAGGAATCATCTTTTAGAAGAAAAATAGCTCAGCAACTCACCAGTGGGAATACTTCATCATCACTAACAAATGGACTTGTTATTTCTTTGCTCTGAAATGCCAAAGATGGCAATGGTGGTGTTATACTTCTATTTGGCTCGCCATCTTGGCCAAGTCTAAAAGAGAAGGAATGGTTGTCATTACTTCTACAAAGGACACATGTTTGTTTATGTTGCTAAGGATTTCTCTGATTTCCAAGAGAGGAAAACAACAAAATGTTTGGGTTTGTTGTTTGGTTATTTTTTGAGGATGATTTTCCTGAATAATTTCTACTTTACTTGAAAGACTTAGAATGACTTATAGTGAAGCATAAAACCTAATAATTTTTAGATATTAGGCTACTTTTAATTGACTATATTGTTCCCCTTTCTGTCTTAAACATTTTTATTTCTTAGCCTTTTGTATAACTGAAGCTAACTTGAGAGAAATCTTACAGTTAACATGACTGCCATGCTAAATAGGTGCAGATCTAAGTATTGTTTTTAGTTCTCTATTACACTTAAAACTGACTTTCTTGACAGAATTATACTTTTTGATGTTAAACAAGTCTTTGTATACTAATTTCTATACTGTATAAAAATTTATAGCATGTTTCAGTTTACATCATTTCCTAAATTCCTCCGCTTCTAAATTGTGTGATCTTGAACACTTGACTACCTCTCACTTAAATTTTCTCACATGAAAAGGCTGTAATAAGAGTTGAATGATGAGCACATGTGATGAGCACATAATAAGGAGCACAAATACTAACTAAAGATTAGGTTTTACTATTTTTAAATTCATTTGATCTTCAAAATAGCCATAACAAATGGGAACTAGCCATGGTGAGGAAAATAAGACTTAATCTATTCATTTACTTGTGTATTAGAGTAAACTGCCAAGAAGCAATGATTTTGGATTTTGGACTTGAATCCAGGTTTTTTGAATTCAAACTCCAAAATCTGTTTGAAAGTCATAGTGTAGAATTTTTCATTTGTGTTACAATATAAAGTAGAAGATGGGACTGAAAAACATACTGATGAGATTTTAAACTTTGGTCTATTGACTAGACAAGTAGTAATAAAGAAATCAATTTACACTGAAACTATACAAAAGGTTCTAATAGAATGGGCTATTTGAGATTAAAGAAGTATCTTTCACGAAAATGGTTCTATTCACATTATCAAAGACAATGAAAACAGACAACAAAAACATAAAAATCTGTTCAATTTAAGATTATCTATTTTTACTAATAATTCAAATGCCTTACAATATGAAGCATTTTGAAAACCTTCATAGCTTGACACAGTTAAAAACATCCACATATATTTCTCTGTTCTTATCCAAAGACCAATCTATATAGACTTGTTTCTTATTATGCAAACATTTGCAAAACTATGCATACAAACAGCAATAAAAGTTAAATGAAGCATCTGTAAATTAGTACATAAAAACAAACACAACATGTTTCCCATTTTTACTTATCTTGAAATAAATCTTTCTTCTCTCAACCATAATTACCATGGTAACAGAACAGCAAATTAAACTGAAGTAATATGGTTTATGATGTACACAGTAAGATGAAACAACTCACAATTCAAATAGAATTTGTACTAACAATTGTATAGTACATCTGTGTACAATCTTTAGCTGAACCTTTCAATTTGAGTGAGGCTACTATCTGTACTTTAGAGCACAGTGGAAAAAACAATGTAATTATAGAAGTGGTTCAATCTCTCTGCAATCTGAATTATATGGAGATTTCAGGCAAAGTATTTGTTCTAAATTATCTAAGTAATTATCTCAATTATCCATTTGCTATGGATGTATAGATACAGTTTTATGGTGTTAATTACTAAAATTTATGTAGGAACATTCTTTTTACTGTAAGATCAATAAAATATGGAGATTGAAAGGAAAGACATTATGAAGTAAAGTACTTTTGTTTTAAATCATCTTTATATCTGACAAGTTCTTCTAGGATATAGCTACTCAAATACTTCATAAAACTATCTTTAAAAATGCCACATATATCATCTTAAAAGCTATTGTAAAAATTATTTCAGAAGGCTTTTAGTATCCTTTCATGAGCTAATCTGTTCAATTGGCTTTTCCATAGGTCCAATTCTCAGTCCAGTTGCTTTGCAGGACCAAGCTGCCTCCCTTCTGACTTCCGAGTCGTCTCTCTGGGGTTTTCACAGTCCTCTGATGTGTACACCCAAAACTGTTTCCTCCTCACCCCCACAGGGCTATGGAGTAATGATCTCATCATAATCCATGCTAAACGACCTTTGTCCAGCCTCATCTTCTGATTCCCTATTCTGTGAACTGCTTATTGTTTTCTGGCCTGCATCCTTTCAGCTTGCAGTGTTTTGCTTCTTACTGAGAAACACCATGGCACAAAATTTTCTCAATTTACTTTTGGCTTCACAACTGTTCCCTCATTGACAAGAGACCTCCTGAGTGACTATGAGAAACCTGCCGATTCTGTGATTTTTAGTATTAAAAACTTTTATTAGCTAGACATGAAGCCATTTGAGTGATTAATGTCTGTGATAACTAAAATCTGCCCAGTACATGATACAAACTTTAAAATCATCAATTCACCTTTAAATATGTCTCTTATATACAAATTCCTTTTATCTACAAATGGATTTACCATTAAAATTGTTTATATCCTAATAGTTCTAGATGACTTACTCCAAATTAGCTTATAAACTATCCTGAAACTTCAAAACTCTTAACTTTTAAGACAACACTCAGAATATCCTAGCCAAATTCAATTTCATTTTGAAAGTTTTTTTAAAACGCTGAGTAACTATTTTATTGGAAAATAAATGCTTTAGAATATTCTAAAATGCTTCACTTATTGAGTGAATGTCAAAAACTTAACACTTCACAAAAGAATGAAACAAAATTTGAGTTGAGTGAATAAAATAATATACTAATCTTTCTCAGTTAAAACAAAAATTTCCTTACAATATGGACTTTAAAATTTTGTGGAATGTTACATCATATACCTTCACCTAAAAGGTTTTCTGTTTCTAAAATAGTTCAATGAGAACTACATGCATTAGCTATTGACAGGTAAAGATCATTTGCATATTTTATGATTAATTTATGCCTGATATGTGTGTATTAATATATATATTTACTATGACTTCACTGTGCTGTGCTGGGAAGGGAAAAAAGGGTCATTTTGACTTGCTAAAATTAATAGATATAAGCTTTACAGTTCTCCTCTGCTGAGTTCAGTATCCTTGCATCTCAACAACTCTTTCCCATAGTGGGTTTTATATGCTAATAATTTATTCAGAACATCTGAAATGCTGTTTCTTTTAAAAAACCAGGTCATTGGAGAACGCTGAAATCAGAGGAGGCATTAAAACAAATTTAATGAAACTTTCAACAAATGCAACTGGCAGGACATAAGCTTTGCAGCAGGAATAGTCAGCCCAAACTGCTTATTAAGATAATCTCCTGCTGAGCATTTTACCTCTTATGTTGCTTTCTCTGTCCCCTACTGTCTTGTTTTTGTTAGGCACTTTTAACATGTTCTTTACTGCCCCCACAAAGAAAAAGGGGGCAATGGAAACAAAAAAATATTTTGAAAAAAATAATAAAAGGCAAAGTAAATGCTTTTTGTTTAAATAACACCTGGTTCCTTCATCTAAGGCTTTCAAAGTTCTTTCTGCAAGCAACTATAGGAAACACTGCTCTGCACCCAGTGGTGCTCAGACCTGAGCAGGGATGGACGCCATTCACAGGAAGAATCTTTCAGGGCTTCTCTTTCCCTTCCACAGGCATGTGATGACCTAAAGAAAACTGCACTCTGCAAAGCACTTTGTGAAACATTTATTCTACATTACGAAACATTCTTAAACCCAAATAAAGACAAACCCCTTTGGACAGATTATCTTTTCTGCTGGTCAACTAATATGAGCATATTCATCAGAGAACTGGTATAAGGCCATGGTCCAAAGGCTTTTTCATCCTCCCAATTAACTAACCTGTGGCCACCACCTCTGCCACCACTCGACTGCGGCACCACACCACAGCACTCCCACTGCAGGGCCTTGATCTCCCTTTGCTGTCTTTCACCACCTGAACAATTATCACTTTAGTGCTTTTGCATGGTTGCTGTTCAGGGTAGCAGACTAGAATCTGTTCTTCCAAAATACAAAGGAGGAGAGAGAGGTTGAGAGGACAATGCTGCTCAATACTGCAAGAATGTAGAACAGACATGTTTTTAACATGTCCCACAGACTTGGGATTTGTCTCCCATAGACTGATTATGCTTAGTTATCAAAGTGAGCCCGGTGTCACCTCTGCATGCACAGGACTATCTTTGAAGAAATGTCACATCCAACTCGTAGTCTACTCACCAAAACATACTAATTTTAGGCACTGTGAATTATTAGAGAAGTACTATTACTATGAATACTTATAATTTTGTCAGTAATAATATCACTAATAGCTAATATTTATAGAATTATATGTCATACATGGGTTATCTCTTATAATCCTTATAAGAACTCTACAAATTATTATCCCTATTTATTAAATGGCAATTTAAGGGTAACAAAGATGAAGCAAATTTTTCACGGCTGTCAGTCAATATTCTGTTATGTGAAAACAATATGTAAAGTTTTTCATGCTAAGCATCAAACATCAAACTGAGAAAAAAAGTTACATTGAAGTTGAGTCTGGATCTATAAATTGAACTTTTCTGAGGACCATGGAAGGTTAACAAGCTGTGATGTAAAACAAGTTTTGGGAATGCTGCATACTATTGCGTCTCTTGGAAACCCACAATGTAAATTAGCATGGTAAGGGCTCCAAGAAAGCCTATAAAAAAGAAACTTACGTGTCTTGCTGAGCATTTTCCAACCTTGAGATAACAAAGGCCTTCATAGATGGTTTTGGCCTCATAAATATTTTATTGTAGTTGAATCTACTGGCCTATTTTTTGTGGTTGATATATTTTCTTAGATTTTAAAGTATAACATTTTAAAGAGGATAGGCATATAAGGACAGCAGATTCTTTATACTCTTCACTCAGAGAAAATCTCTCATACACATATATATGTTTCCTCTATCAAGTGACCAATAGTTTGTCACCATGGCTAGAATGTAAATGTAAAGTTAGATATATTTTGAAGCTAAGTCAGAAGTGACATCTTGTATTTTTGGTTTTGTTTTAACAGAATACCTAATGAACAAATTCTAGTTTTCTCTGTTCCCATGATGTAAAAAGTAAGATTATTTACTTGTATATATCTGTGTATCACAGCTTGCAGAATGGTCTGATGTGGCTAATAAACTAAAATCTCCTGTAATGCTCCATCCACCTCACTGTTACATCTTGAAAACTGCTGATGACACAAATTTCTTAGAAGTATCTATCATGACTAAATAAATTTTAGACAAATGAAGAGGAAGTACATGAAGTTAAAATTTGAATTACTTAACAATAAATTTCAATTAAATGTTTTTAAACTTACATAATGCAGCTAACATACCTATCTTCATTTTTTTCCATTTTTATTTGGCTTTGATAGGCATATATTCCTGTTTCTTCATAGGTATTCTGATAAGGCCATGCTGATTTTCCATTGACATGAAGTTTTGCAAGATCATTTCGGAGCTTTTCATTCTCATATTCCAGTTTGCTAATGGATGTATGCCTTGAATGTGCCTTATTAGTGAAGTTCATACACTAGAAAATAAAGTAAGTTATCACTGAAAAACTAACCTGTATAAGGGATGCATATTTTCTGTGTGTTTGGACACATGTGACGGGAAGGCCCTCTCATATGAGCCATGTGATACGGTCCTACTTTGCTCATCCGAATGTTTCTTCCCTTCTCTCTGCTTTCTCACGACACGTATGAAAGGAATGCATACCATAGTGCCCATTTCAATACAGAAAATGTTTACTGTTCTTTACAACAAATTGGCCGGATTCAAAGCCTCTTTGTGTGTGTTTATAAGGTATAACTGTTAGTGTTCATCAACAATGGAAATAACATACATTTCAACTTTAAAAGATTTTTTCTGATTAAAATAATTCATATGATTATAGAAAATAAGGAATATTAAGAACAAATGTTTTATACTGCCACTACTCAGCAATAAGTATTAATATTCATATCTTTCTAGTCTTTTTCAAATAGGAAATATAAATGTCAGTATAATTATATACTTATATAGAATTATAATCAGTATATGCATAATCATAAGAAGTGCAATATAATCCAAATCAAATATACATATGTATAAATACAAAATTATTATTACAAGATATAATAAAATTTTAGGGGCTATTTTTTCCTCCTGAATACTTTATATATCTAAAAAATAAGATTTTAATGATGGCATTGAAGAGGTATAAATAAATTCATTTAGTCAATTCTCTGCTATTGAAAATTTATTTCCAAAATTATAAATAATACTGTGTTGCTTTTCTTACACACAAATCTTGGCCTGAATTCCTTTAGATAAGAGGCCAAGGATTGGGACTGCAGGAGTAAATTATAGGAATTTTCCTGAGGACCCAAATAAAAAGTGCTAGTATCTCCCCCTAATAAATTTCATAATTTCTAGCCTTATAAATTCTCACCAATAATGTATTATAAAGCCTATTTTATCAAACTCACAATAATTTAATATTACTATTTTACTAAATTCTAATGAGAGATGAAATAGCAACTTATTTATTAGTTGCATATATTTTCATATTTTTGGACAATTTTATTCCATTATTTATAAATTGTCTATTTGTATTCTTTGCTCATTTTTCCATTAGGGTGTTTGTGTCTTACTAATCTGAAAGTTTCTTTTAACATTAGAAATAGTAATTCATTGTTTCTGCAGTTGTATGAAAGTATATTTTTATGTAATGTTTAAGTTTCAGTATATGGTGTGCTTATTCAGATTTGTTTTTGTTATTTAAACAAATTTATCACTCTTGTTCTTTTGTGATTTCTTTGCTTTTCTGTATTTTTCCTATGACTTTTATATTTTTAGTATATTATATTTAATTCTTTATTTGGAATTACTTTTATCTAAATTGAGAGAAGTAACCAAAAATAATAAATCATTTTAATTATTTAAATCACATGTTGATTAAAACACCAATCACTCACTGCTGGATGATGCAACAAATTATACACTAAATCCATGTAGACCAAATCTTATTCTGGATCATTCTATCCTATTGGTCTTACAGGTGACATTGTGCCAATAATGCAAGTTTGGAGCAATGTGACTTCATAACAAAATTTCACTATGTGGGAGGGAGGTACCATCATCAGAATACAAAATAAAATGTTTAAATCACAAAATGGGAGATTTGGAGTAACAGAGATTTCCATGGCTGTTTTTTTCTTTTTGGTACTGAGAATCGAACTCAGGACCTCACACTTGCTAGGCAGCTGTGCCGCTGAGCTGCAACCCCAGCCTCTGTGGCTGTTTTAACTGAATTGTTTTAAGTAGTTTCCTAGGAAATCTCTACAAGTTTTAAAAAGTAGGCTATAATCTCACAGTGAAAGTACTTTACATGCCTGTTTAAAATCCACAGAGCCCCATGATTTGAATGTTTATCAGTTGCATAGCTGCTGACTAAACAACAGTTCTCTGATTTCAGAAAGCTAGTATTTTAGCATAACAAGCACACCCTGAGTACAATATTTTGTTTTATAAAATTAAAAAAATATTAGTACATGTTTTCAGTACATGATGATGACATTCATCCTGGGAGTTGGGACATGTGAATAACATATCTTAATTCTTTTTTATGTACCAGTTCCCTCCCCTAAAACAATTTTTTGTGAACCTCCAGATATCTATGGTTCAAAATTCTTTAGATTGTATGTGAGTATAGCTTAGAATACACTTGTTGAAGTTCCTAAATGAAAGGTTTCTAGCATTATTTGTACATAGCTATTCTAAATTTTTGAAAATTACTCGTTTTGAAAATTATTCATGTGCTATATTAATTTTAATACTGATAAATACAAACACAAATATATACATTTTAGATTATGAAAATGCTCCAAGAGGGCAAACTTCTCCACAGAATAATATGAGATTGATTGTACTATCCCAAGTTTATTAATAGAGGTATCTTTTAGAAAAGGATAGCATTCAAAGAATTTCTTTGTTCGTTAGGCATTCACCTTTGAGAATTTTCAGTATTTAGTTTTTTGAGACATTCATGCAGTTAAAAGAGCAATATATACTCTTGTTTTAAAAAAGAACAGACTGCTTACTCTAAAATTAAAGTGGATTTACAATAAATAAAAAGCAGGCACAGTCTTACAAAATTTTTGCTCTCCAAAAACAAAAAATTCTCAAGGGCAGATATGGTTGAAAAAGGTCACCAGAATCTTATCTTTGAATAGGATTCAAAAATTTACTCTAAATAAGACATCTATCAGTCAAAACATGCAATTCTTAATGGCCTGCTGTTCAGCTCAAATTGTATTCATGATTTTTTAAAATAAAATTAGACTTTATTTATGACTATTTTGGTCCACTACTGATTTAAAGTAATTAAGAATGATAGTAATGATTTTTAAAAACCCTGCAATTTTCTAAATGTAGCATAATTAAATAAATATTATAAGCATGACCAGAAAGAATTAGATAAATAATTTATCTACAAGTTTTATATCTGAAAGCATATTCCTTTTGTCTTGGTAAGTTTTTCAGGGACTCTCTTATTTTGCATTTTTTTCTTAAATACTTTTCTAGTGATTTCAGAAGTATATTTGTTATTGTATGATTATCATATGAAAACACACAACAATGAAGCCTACCACTGTGTTTCTCTGTTTTCTTTTTCTGCAGCTCAGGAGACTGATCCCAGGGCTTTATGTCATGCATGCTCGGCAAAAGGTCTACCACTGAACACTATGCCACCATTCCTACTTCTGTTTCTGATGGATTCTTTTACATAGGCCTGTTACTCTATTCTTTAAAAAATTTTAGGGGGCTGGGGATTTAGCTCAGCGGCATAAGCGCCTGCCTTGCAAGCACGCAGTCGTGAGTTCGATCCTTGGTACTGGTAAAAAGGAAAAAGACAAAAAAAAAAAAAAAAATTACAGTTCCATAGTTTTATTCATTTCTTTGCTCTTGAAATGGCAAAACCTCTTGGTGCTTATTTACTTGGAAAGAATAGGATGAGGCCAGTTGAATTACTGAAATGTCTGAATAACTGCGTTTTACATGTACATTTTTCTTTTCAGTTATATATTTAATAATAATAGTCTATATTTAATAATAATAGTCTATTTTTATAGAAAAATATGCTTTAGTTATGTTTTAGGGTATTTTAGTTTTCAGTGTATAAATGGATGTTTTAAAAAGCAAATAATCAAAAATTACTACAAATTTGAGTTCTGATAAAGTCAAATTGTATTACAACATTCTTAAATCATTAATAAATACAATTACAGAACTAAGTAAATATGGAATAAAGAGAAATCTGTCACGGTAAATTTAATTCTTTGTTAGCTCACCCAGGAGATGTGTGAAACAAACAAACAAACAAGTAAACACACAAACTCCTTTTTTTCTTCTATGCGGTGAAATTTCAACACAAATCTATGGAGAACACCTCTCTTTCTAAGCCAGGACTATCCTGTTGGTTCTGTTATTACTCTAACTACCTCACTGAGACCGAGGAAAGCAGCAGCCTTCTAGCCCCCTCCATGCACTGTGGTAATTAGGTACAGCACCACTGTTCCTGCTGCTTTGATAAACTTTCTCTCCCAATATAGAAACAAACAGGGAATTTTATAGTTAGTTATGCATAAAAACTTTCAAAGCTTTATTTATTTAAATATGACTAATTTAAAATCAGCAATCTCCATGTTTAGAAAGAAAATGGTAATTATTAACTTAATATTATCCAAATACATTAGGCTTAAAATGATGAATATATTTTGTATCTTATTTCCAGAGATAAAACTTCAGCACCAATAATGTAATTCTATCTTCACTTATCCATTCCAATGATTTTAGAAATAGTTATCTAAGAGATTTTCTTCTACTCATGGAATTAAAAAAAAAAAAAAAAAGCCAGTTTTTTTTGAGCCAGGGTCTTGCTATGTAGTTCAGGCTGGCCTTAAACTCACTCTGTAGCCCAGGCTTGTCCCAAATCCTGTCAATCCTGCCTCAGCCTCCTAAGTGCTGGGATTTACAGGCATCTGTCCCTACACCTATTCCCAAGCTTATGGAATTTTAACAGGACAGACAAAAGAGAGTTTTCTTCATTTTAGTAAATTAGAAAAAGTTCAACAAAATGAAACAAACCAGGAAAAGAAAAAGTTCAACAAAATGAAACAAACCAGGAAAAGCTAAAAATAAATGAATGAAAAATAATAAATCCATAGTTAATACTTTTAAATAATAACAAAACTTCTTATGAGCCAGGACTAAGACGAAAAAGAAAATCTATTATGTGTTGAACTATGTAAGATGAAAAATAAACACAAAAGTAGAATATATAGAAGAGATGAAAAAATTTGTATGCTATTACTACCTTTGGTAATAAACAAACTGAAATGGGTAAAGATGTCCTAGAAAAACACAAATTAGCAAAATGATCTAAGAAGAAGTAATGAAATTTGAATGTACTAAGTATTCAAAGAGAAAACATTAGTAGAGATGTATCTTGTCCAGATGGCTTTACAGCTAAGTTCTTTTTATAAAGCCCTGATAATTCTAAACTATTTTAGATCATATAGAAATCTTCAAAGTTATGAAGTCACCATAACTTTAAAACAAGTAGAAAAGAATTATAAGTCTAATTTTATGTACAAACCTTAATTTCTAAGTAAAAATGATAAAATCCTGATAGGTTTATGATGATATTGATATATGTAAAATATGGAATGATACAAACCGAGTAGTTGACATATGTTATCTCTTGGGGTCTGATATGGGAAGAAGAATGGAGACAGGGAGAGAGGGCTAAAGTGAGAGAAAAGGTCACACTGAAATGATCAGTATTTAAATTATGGCTCAATTTATAAAAATATGTCTTATATGACTAACTTTTCTAAGAAATTAGGAAAAATAAGATATTTTCTGGCTTATATGCATGTCCACATATACAGTCAGAAGGCTGTTTCAGATATATATATAATATATATATGTTTCAGATATATATATAAATATATTACTATTTGTAATACATAGTAATATATTACACTTTGTGTGTGTCCAAATAAAGAAAAAGTGACAGAATGCTACACATTACTTTGTTAGCACTGGTTATCTCCGGAATCCTGATTGAGATCCAGGGTAGAAGTGGGGATAATTAGCTTTTTCTTTGTACATCTTTTTGTGTTTTATTTTTATTATTTTTTTTTAACTTTTTATCGGTACTGGGGATTGAACTCATGACTGCCTGCTTTATGCCGCTGAGCTATATCTCCAGCCCTTGTGTTTTATTTCTTACAAATCCAAGATTATTAAATGAATAAAGCCAAAAGCCCCCAGGAACCACAGTGAGGCAGCCTCCATGTGTATTGACACCAAATACACCAACACAACATTCAATTGAATCAAAAAGTACAAATACTATTTTGTGGTTAAAAAAAGACACTCATGGATCAAGGATCACATTTAACTTTTTATATGTTTGATGTTTAGATGACAAACAGACTTTTAAACATTTAACAGGGAAATCACAGGCGCTTTGGTATTTATTCATCTGCACACCAACCACAGCCTAGATATCCATGTTCCAAAGAGGCAGAATGCTTCCAGGTGCCCCTGTCATTTTGATGCTAGAATATGGATTATTAAGAGAACAGGTACATAATATTACAGAAATACAGCATTAAGGCTGAAGAAAGGAGTTTGGAGAATGCCTAATCCAACACCTTGACTTTTAACTAAAGAAACTAAGGCTAACTTAGGTCTTATTTTATCCTTTCTATGCCTTGAATGATAGAAGGATTATTTTAGAATTTTCTCACAGTGAAAATAAATGCTATTGATATTTCACCAGTTCAATAAACAAAAATTCTCATATAAAAATCAAACACTGACTGTTACACTAAACAAGAGAAATGAGAAGCACAGAGCTTACAGAGCCTTGTGTAAACCTGAAGTCACTGATTAATTCATTCATTAATTCATCCCTCTTGTTATTCAGACAACACACAATGAACACTTAATCTATACCTGATGTCGTGAAGAGCTATAATGATACAGACATTACAAGGCATAACTCCTGCTTGCCACCTAGTGAGAAAATGACAAGATACATAAAACAAACTGGACAGAAACAGAAACCAAGTATGGAAAAAACAATTCGTTCTGACTGCGCTTTTGGGGGTGGTTTTATTGAAGAAATATTGACACTTCAATCAGGCCATGAAGGATTTTAAGGCAACACGATCACAAGCATAGAAATAGCGTGTTTGGCATGTTTGGGAACTGATCAGAATTGAGCCCAAACCAAGAAAACAAGTGAGAAAACTAGAAATTCAAGTGTTCCAGCTTGAGGATAGAAGTAAATTGAACTAAAGTGAAAGACAATTTGTGGCCCCAACATTTGCATGCCTAAAACATGGCAAGTGCTCAGCAGGGATATCATGGTACATCCTGACCAGCTAAATAATCTCTTGTCCAACTATCCAATGAATTCAGCATATTACCATGTACGGTCCAGGGTCTAAATCTCCCATCATTCCTTTCAGATGTGTGTTTTCCGTTCTGACAGCTTTATATCTCATATCTGAGAACTGAAAAATTAGTAATAAAAGTTAAGTGTAAAACTCATAATGAAAATGCATAGTTTTATTAAAATTAGCTTTACCTTGAGAAAACTAATATTTTCTAATAGTAGTAAAGGGCCAGACTTCTTAGGTCTATTGACTGAGTATTCTTATTTAACTTTTCCATCTTTGTCAGGCCCTCCTTTTGCAATTAGTATTAAATTAAAAGGGTATAATAATGATTCACTTTTTTTCTTTCCAATTCTAAAATCTTATTTCTTCTATTTTTTAATTGTACACAAATTACCAGAAAAAATCACAATTTTAAGTCATTCTTGAAATAACACTGTCCACTCAATTTCTTTAGCACTTGATTAATTTTTTTTACAGTATATAACACATGACTTTTATGTTTAATTTTGTCCTGTCTGGTGTTTCTCCCAAGTTTCCTTTGTGACTTTTTCACCTACCTCTTATTTTTTTGTTTGTTTGTTTTCCTGATTTCTTCTACTTGACAATACTTGGATATAGTTGTCATTTTATTTACCTAGGGCTCATTTCTATTAAAAAATGATTAGAAAATTTACTTTTATTGGGGGAGCTCCAGATACCCTCCTGCTCTGGCCTGCCAGCTGGGTAACACGAAGAGCCAGCTCCCTCCACCCCTCACTGTAAGTGATCAGCTGATCTAGAGAAACACAGGCTGTGATGATAGCATTTGAGGTAAAATACAACTTAATGCTTATAGTGTTTAGTGCTTCACTGACTGCAGATCTAAAGTAGGTAGTCTGATCATCTATCTATTCAGAGGATCACAATATGCAATGTAGCATCTACAGGGGATCTTTTTCTGAAGGTGATAATAGTTCCCTATTATCTTGTTTGGAAGTCCTGTATCATTTTCATTGTTTTGTTGGACTGGGTTTTATTCTGTTGTGTCTTGTTTGATTTTATTCTATCCAAAAGCATGGGCAGCTATTTTAAAGATAACAAGATATATTATGGTTGCCATTTTGGATTTACTAATATTTTGTTTGAGGTCCTTTATTGCATTCATTGTTTTGTTTTTATTGGTTCTATTCTGTTCTGTTTTGTTTGATTTTTACTATGTCTGAAAGTATGGGCAGTTATTTTGAAGACCACAAGAGGCATTATGGTAGCCTATTTCCTATTATCTTGTTTTGAAGTCTTGTATTATACTGTTTTGTTTTTATGGGCTTTATTTTGCTTTACTTTGCGTGTTTTATTGTCTTTAAAAATTACAAAAAAGTTTTATTTTTACCAATTATAAAATACAAGCTCACTGACAAAATCTATAAAAATATGAGTATAAAAGTGAAAGTCAAAATCATTCATAATCCAACTACTTAGATCACTGTTACCATCTGTAAAATATTCTTCACCAATCATGTCTGGCCAGTGAGTGGTATTATGCCATCTGTTTGGTTTTCCTGAGTATTATCATGTAAGTCATAGTTTAAGGCTGCAGATTGGACAAAGGCTAAATCATTTTTTTTTCCCATAATACATAGGATTTAATTGTCATGCTATTTGTGAAGTAATCCTCATATGCCTAGAAAGTTAGTGCAATTATCTCAATGTTTTGTGCTTTGAAAACATCTAGATTTGAAGCAAAAGGGGATAATAAATCTGTCAATAGCAGGCTACCAATTTAATTATGAATAACAGATTAGGAAATTTAAAAACTAAACAGGAAGAAAGGAAGGAGGAAGTAAGGAAAGGAAGGAAAGAAGAAAGGAAGGAAGGAAGGAAGTGAAGAAGGGAAGGAGGGAGGGAGGAAGAAAGGAAGGGAAGAGAGAAGGGCAGGCTGGTGGGGTTAGAAATTACTTCCAGTATTTTAATGGCAGAACTGCAATTGTTATTTTTTCTCCAAGCACTCTGTTGTGCATTGCATGAATATTCAGTAAATATGAAATGGTTTCATGTTACAAATACCTGAAGTGGAGGGTGGGAAATATCCAAGAAAAGCTGGGTAGAGTTTTTAAAAATCAATGTTAGTGAAAAGGACCTGAGGAAGAAATCTATGGTTAGAGCATGTGTGGGAGGTGCTTAGAATAAGTTACTAGAAAATGTTAGGATGAGATTTAATCACATTATCTTGCATTGTCACTTATCTCCCTAGTTCTTTTTTCACAGTACTTTGCAATACGTCACAAAGATTTTATATGACTCTACAAAACACTGCAGTGACACTACAGGCATTGCTGTGATGCTAAGCCCTAGAACAAAACCAACCAATGCAATGATTTTATCAGTCAGCAATGAAGGTTACTATTAGCACCCACCCAGCAAGAGGTGCCCTGCAAAGGTGCTCTGTTCCTGACTACATACCTGTTGTTTTGCTAACATTTTTTCTTTTATTTCTAATTCTATCTTTAACTGTCTTTCCAGAAGGGCAGCTTTCTTCATCACAGTTGCTATAGTGATCTCCTTCTGATGAAGCTCCTCTGTTAAGTTAGAGATTTCATTTCTCATTCTTTCCTGCTCAGAGTTGTGGTACTCTTCCTCGTGATAGAGCTGGTTTCTTATCTGTAGCAGATAAAGTACCAAAAACATGAACAAGTCTTTCCCATTATATACATGTTATCATTCACTACTGACACTACTTTGGAACTACTTTGGAAGTTAGATAAAATATTAGCAAGCACTTCTTATGGAGAAAAAATTGCTTAAAAAGGATAAATGACTTATGCTGTATGATTTGGTACTAAACACTACGTATTTTAGAATATAATAAACTTTAAATTTAATGTGTTCATAAATAGGCATCATCACCCCTTACGCCTGTGGAGTCTCTTATATTCTTATTCTTGGCTAAGGAACCCCTTGCTACCTTGGACTCTTCTCCAACCTTATCCTTTCAATTGGACTCAGGCAACAAAATCAGTACATTGCTTCAATCCTTCTCTATTCTCTATTCCTGCTACTGCTATGTTGATCCAGCCTGCTAGCATTGTTTCCACAAGCCACAAACAGTTTCTAATTCTTCAAATTCACAAAGCATAAAATCAACAGTCTCTACACTCATAAATGAAATAAACAATTTCAAAACATCATACTCCACTGGTGAAACAAAAAAATAAACAGATAATGCCAGTATAGTATGATAATGATTGTTAACAGTAGTATATAACTTGATCTGGGACGGACGTCTACATAGGACTTCCAAGGAGAGTCATCAGACTGAATATTGAAGGGGGACTGCAAGCCAGTCAGAAGAGAGTATGCAGAAGGCCTCCAAGGCGAAGAATGCGGTGAAGACACAAGGGCGAGAACAATGCACACACCGTGCAAAAGGCGTTCGGATGGCTGGATCAAGTATGTCATGAGACACAAGGCTAGAAAGGTTAGGAAGAGGTCATTTGCAAAATATTTACATAAATTTATGCCAGTGCATTTAGCTTCAAAGTTTTTTTTTAATTTCATCTTTAAATGTTTCAGTGTATATCTCTAAAAGAACAAGGATACACTTTCTTCTCTTAGACTTTTAACATAACCACAATACCTTTATAGTGTCTTCAATAATTAGTAATTACTCCATTTCATCAAATATTCAGGCTGAATTCACATTTACAATGGTCTAGAAAATGTAACAAATGTTCTTTAAATTTAATTGAGGTAGACTTTAACTATTATCCATTGAAACTGGCACACTATGTATTCAACCCTGGCCTTGAACTCACTATGTAGCTCAGGCTGGCCTTGCACCCAGAGCATGCTGGGATTATAGGTGTGTGCCACCACACCCAGCTCCTCACATATCTTTTTCTTTTTTTTTGGTTCTGGGGATCAAACTTACAACCTTGCACTTGGGAGGCCGGAGCTTATGCTGCTGACCTGTATCCCCAGTCCTCTTCATGTATCTTTTTAAAGCTGTTTTTATGTGTTTCTGTGTGCTTTATGTGCATCATCTCATGCAGTGCTCACAAATTCTTTCTCGTTTGCAGATTAAAAAAGTATTAAGGTGCATAACTTTTCACAGTCACACCATGGTGACAGGGAGTCTGATTCCTGGACCTGTGACTCTGCCCACTGTGCTCTTAGCCTCTTGTTCATGCTTTGGAAAAGCTGGTTTTCAGGAAATGATGCCTGGAGCAGGATGATGACCTAATATGGAACATATACATAAGTCTCATTACAGACATTTTAGAATTTTGAAGTTGGACATGACGGTCACATCACGTGGTCTTAACACTGCCATTTAACAGACTAGAAAAAAAATAAAAGGAAGAAAACTGACGGGACCTAAATTATCGAATCCTGGAAGTAAAAGAGGAGACTGGAATGCAAACAGCCTAACCCAGAATGATGTTACAAGTCTCTGATTTTCTGATTCCATTTTTTCCCTTGGAATTCACTTGGTGAGACAACAGCACTGTTCTGCAGTTGGTCTGGACTTGCTGATCGCTTCCTGTGATGTGGTTTAATATGTTCCCCTTAAAATGGAACTTCGAAAAAAAAGGAAGATTATACTGTTGTAAAGTAGTAAACTATTTTTATTATTTTATAATGTTTAGCTATTAAAACAAAATGCTATATTGCAAAGCTGTATTCTTAATTTACCTGAGCTTCAAATGACTTTTCACTCTACTAAGAATGTGAATTTTCTAACAAAATAAATGACTAAAAATAGTTCAGTACTGGAAAAGGAGAAAAGAAAACAAGATTTATAATATATGGCTCTTGTTGGTTTTATTACAATAGTATGAAAATGCTCTCCACAAATGCTCCCTGGAAGCTGTAGCTATTTTTATACAACTCATTCGTTACCTTTTCTGCACAGCATTACACTATCAAGTAGCCTCCAAGAGCCTACAAAGAGATTTGTGCTTCACACTCTCTCCCTCTATGTCAACACTGTGAGAAATCAGCAGATTCTTTATATTAGTCCAACTTTTATTATTTATCAAAATCAATGAGGTTTAGAAGGATGGAATACAGGTGGCTTCAGTTGGTTTTAATCAATCCTTTAGCTTAATGCATTCACTGGAGACATCAACAAAGGACAGTTTTTTAGTTACAGTTTTAAAATCAGTAAAATGAGTTTCATGGTACTGTGTGTTACTGAACTTTTCAAAATATAATGGAAATGATCATTAATTTGTAACATCTTTTCTACATTTAACCTGTACTAGTACTGTGATGGTCAACTCTGTCAGACAGGGCCCATATTTCATATGATTGTATTTTCTATAGGAGTTAGTAGAACAATTATAACCATACTATATACTCAATAAATGGTTTTTGGATTTATACAAAGGGCAACAAATTTATGGGACAACTTAGCCTTAATATTAATTAATTCATCCCAGCATTCAGAAACCTGAGACAAGAGGATGGCGGTGAGTTGTAAGGCCAATCTGTACTAGATAGCGTGACTCTGTTTCAAAAAAAAATATTAGTTAATTCATTCTCTAAATATTTACTTTTGGGCTCGGGGTTTAGCTTAGTGACATAAATGCTTACGTGGCAAACATGAGGTCCTGAGTTTGATCCCTGGAACCAAAATAAAACTAACTAACTAACTATTTACTCTCATTTACATCATGCAAGCAATGTGCAGGCCACTAGATGATAATTTCAAGCCATGCCCAGGTTTCTTTAACTTTTAACTATTATTTAGATTTTGCAGTATTGAATTTTGATTCACCTATTTTGATTCTCAAATCTAAAGACCAGAGAGGTTAGACAGTAGTTTTCCAGAGGCAGTAAGACTCATGGGAAGAAAGACATTACTGAATCTTACTCAGAGAAGAGAATACGTTCTCTTTTGGCAGGTACAGAACTGCAGGCTCTTTAAAAGCAGCACCCATACCTTATTCATTTTGCACTCCTTGTTCCTGGCAGAGTGCTTGGCATGTTAGGTGCTCAATGAAAAATGTGAGTGTTACTGAAAACACTCGCAGCCAACATTTACTAGGTGCTTCCTGAGGGAGGCCTTGCTCTAAGCACTTTACACGCATTATTTCATAGACTTTAATGGAAGGTCAAGCAATGTTGGAGAAGTTACTAGATATTTTGGTGTCTTAGTTTCCTCAAATATAAAAAAGGGATAATATTTAGAGTCACTTTATAAGATGGCTGTGAGGAATAAATGAATTAGGATTTGTGAAATCCTTAGAACACTTCCTGGCACGTGATACATGGTATGCAAGTAGCAGGCACTGTTGGCTCATTTAATTCTACGACAACCTTACGAGGTACACACTAATTATCCTCATCCTAGAAATAAGGATCCTGAAGAATGAAGACAAAGAGCTTCCCCCAGCTTACACATGTGGCTGAGCACCAAGTCTGTGCTCCTAACCTTTGTACATGCCACCTGTCACAGAGCCACTGGCCCTCCATATTTCATGGGCAGTGATATCCGGGCACTTGTGTTCACACAGAACAAAGTCAAGATTATTAACTTGACAGATAGTAGGAGAAAATAAAGAAGGAAAAGAAAGGGAGAGAGGAGGAGAATTTTTATATTTGTTTGTATGCAAAGAGTTCAGATCTACCTGGAAGAATGTATCTCATTATTTTCCATACCTTGTTTAGTTCTTTTTCTTGATTTGATTGATCCTGGACCCCTGAAAATAGCTCTTTCTTTTTCCTTTCTGTTTCTTCACCAGAAGGTGAATAAGATGGTGCAATTCTAAAAATTGAAAATAAAATAATAATAATAATATGCTTAATTCAATAAATTATGATTATTTTGTGAATTTTGACCATTGTAGACTGCAGAGAGAGTCCACTACTTTGTTAGAAACAATTTGACTTGCAACATTGCAAGTCCTAATATATGCATATCCCATTAAGTATTTATATCTTTGAGTGCCAGTGATTTTAATGGGAAAAAGGTAGCAATTAATATGGAATTTCAATTATACATTAAAAATTGGCAGAACACTGGAATGCATATGTACACAAAAGTTTTGGATAAAATAACCAGATTGCTTCTTATAATAAATAGCTTGAGCACCCATCCTAAAAAAGGAAACATACCCAACTGGCTAATGCACTGCAGAAAGTAACTCTGACATGAAAAATCCAAGGGGCACAATTACACCCCGTAAAAGTACTAAACCATAAAAGTACTAAAAATGATTCAATCTGATAGTCTAACCAGACAGAGCTCAAATGCGGCTATACATTTATGAAATGGAATTGTAACTACATATTAATAATGGAGGGGAGAAGCAGAAACTCTCAAAAAATGATAATTCCTATAGGAAATGGTGAGATTTAAGCGGGCAATGTTCACTTCCATGTACAGTAAATAGGTAAAATATAAATTATTAACACACAAAAATAAAGACAACCACATAGAGAAAACAAAACGCTTTCTATTGGAAGTCAGACCTGACTACTTTTGTGGGTCTGGAGTTATGAGGACTATACTTGTAACTGAGACAAATTTTAGTTTTCCAAAGCACTTCTGAAAAGGTTTCACATTTTGAAATATAAAGTTCACAAACAGAATGACAAACCAAAATCAGTAATGATGGAAAAATAAAGATTGAAAATAAAAGATTTCTAAAGGGGTCAGGGCTTTGGCTCAGCAGTGTAAGCACCTGCCTGACAAGCGCGAGGTTGTGAGTTTGATCCCTGGTACCAAAAAAAAAAAAAAAAAATCTCTCAAGGATATAAACTGATAGTGCTAACTCAGAGGTATATGTGTCTTGGTCATGTATAATATATATATTTGAAATATATAATGTGTGTGTGTGTGTGTATATATATATATATATATATATAGAGAGAGAGAGAGAGAGAGAGAGTGAATAACAGTGTATCAGTCTATTATATGCTGCAATAATGTTATCCAGGAGAAACTGGTAGCATTTTTGTGTATATTGTCTTTTTCTCATGTATACTTATGTGTTCACAAGTACACATTTCCTCTATAATGAAAACACCTGCGGACTTTTTCAGTTTCCTTCCCCCGCCCCCACTTTGTATTGTGAGCATTTCCATTTTATCCAGTATTTTCCCAATATATTGTTTCAGGCTTAGTCTTAAATTTTTCTAATTTTCTATGAACTGAAAAAGTAAAAAATGAAATTTCTTATTTCTCAATTCTTGTAAGAAGTTTCAGGGAACAGAATGCTAAACTGAATGCTAAAAATCTCATGGCAAATGTGCAACATTTGGTGAATTATTGGAGAAAAAGTTAAACTCCAAATACGGAGAAGTGGTAAGAAAATAATAAATATGCTAACATAATACGTTAAAAAATACATAAAGGAACTATTATTTGTCATGTAGGAAAGAAGTATTATAGTTTTCTAAAAATGTAATTAATTAATTAGTTAATTAACTTTTGGTACCAGGGATTGAATTCACAACCTCTTGCTTGCCGGGCAGGTGGTTATGCCACTGAGCTAAACTCCTGGCATACTGGAGTTATTTTAATAATGCAAAAGCAAAAAAGCTAGTAAAATTCAGCATTGAGAAAAGTTCTGAAAATAAATAAAAACATTACTTTATTTTCAGTAGTCTGGGTTGTCTTCATTACAACTCTAAAGAAGAAACAAGAGTCTCAATAAAAGAAACCAAAATAACAAAGTGTATGCAACAGCATTCGCATGAGAACAAACTAAAAGAATCTGAACTTGCAGTAGCAAACAAGGCTGAGAACCTTAAAGACAATGGAATGTGAAAAGTTAAATATCTAAAAACATTTTATGAAATCATAGAATATTAGAACTGAGCAATACTTCCAAATGAAAAAACATATAATTTAGAGATCACATTAAATAGATGCTGGCAAGCAGGCAGAACAAAGTAGAGTTTCTATTGGCTAAACATGTGAATAAATACAAAACTCAAGATGAAATCATGTTTTGAAGGAAAGGCATTAGTATCAAGAATTCAGCACTGGCTGTGTAAGAGCACCTTAGAAAGTATCTACCACACTCTTCAGAAAACCAGAGACAGGTACAGGTTGAATGATGTGTTCTTCCACAAAATGTCTTATGTTTTAAGGCATATACATTATTTTTTGTGTGTGAGGACATTTCTCACCAACTCATCACACTAGAACAGCACCTTACACATAATAAATACTGAAGAGATTTATTAATCATCGGCGATCGTGATATATAGCTTGTATATAGGGCACTCAATAATGGTGACTGAGTAACAGGTACCCTGCTGTCCTTGGAGACACAAGCAATAGGTCATTTTAGGAATTTCAATTTACTATTTGTTGTTGAGGACAAATCTGAAAGAAACAGCACGTCCTGCAACTTTGAAGGAATAATTATTGCCTTTAAAACAATAATTATCGTTCAATAAAATATCTCTCACTATATTGCTATTAAACTTTTAAAATCCTGTTACAGATTTGACATTAGCAGTCCTACATCAATTAACTACTAAAGCCCTGAAACAGTCTATGCACAGTCATAAGCATTTACTAATCCTCAGCAATCCTATTTTCTTTGTGGTTTTGGAGTACACAGTATTTGTCTGATTTTAAAGAGGAACATTATGAGTTTTAAAAAGGACCCTTCATGGAATTAACAAGACGGTGAGTGTGGAGGTAAATGAACAACAAATAGGCTTTATGCAACCAAAATGAGAGCATTTGAGAAGCATAAAGAATAAAAATTCTAAGAAAATTTCTGACTTGGTCTGACAGAGTATCCAGTACATGAGTATCAGTAATGATATAATTTTCTAGGTAAAGATCAATTTTGAAGATGAAATAATAATTTTGTTAGTATTTAATTTTATATACCAATTAACAATTAAAAATAACTTTTAATTCTAGTTTCAAATATAAAACTCAAAGTATATAAATATATTTTGAATAGCTCAGATTATCAAATATAAAGACTATACCTTTTTTTATTTTCTTGAGAACTTTGGCACTCTCCTATTTTTAATAATTCTCTGTGTAACTGCAATCGTTCCATTTCTATAATTCTCAAGAGATCATCACGTGACTGTAGCTCATTTTTCACTTCTGAGAGTCCAGCTTCCATGGCCTGAGTAAAGTATCACAGCATGCCACTGCTTACTTTCAACATCATGATGTACGTACGTTTGAAAACACTTAACAACTATAACATCAGCCTGCTTTTAAACAAAGATTTAGTCCTTTTATTGTTCTATCTTATAGAATTGTATCCCTTTATTCATTTATTTAACAGATACTTATTAATCTTGTATGTAGTTTGGGGACACATTCACAGGAACTGTTAGTGGTCTTACTGTCCACTGATAAAGAGAAACAATAATCAAATCACATAATATGATCACATCATATGTAAATTTGACATGAAATATGAAAATTCGAGTAACACACAATGCATAAAATTTGAATTGATGCATACTTCCTAATTAAAAAGATAACAATCAAATGAGAATCTAGTGGCGAAGCTGGCCAACAATAAATTATAAACTATGATTCCATGCTTGCCTAATGGTAGTCATAATTCAGTCAGTAGCTAGAAATACCAGAAATCTTGGGGGCTCAGTGTTTCACACTGCTAACAGGAAAGGCTGGAGAAGCTGCACCCTTGTAATGCCAGTATTTGGGAGGCTGAGGTAGGAGGATTTCTCAGAGTTCAAGGCCAGCCTGGAGTACACAGAATGTTCAGGGCCAGTCTAAGCTAAAAAGGAAGATCCCGTCCCAAAGAAGAGAAAGAAAAGAAAGAGAAGGGAAGGGAAGGAAAGGAAAGGAAGAAGATAAAAGGAAAAGAGAAGAGAAGAAAAAAGGAGCTGCTGGTAAGGATTCCCTTTGGAAAGAAACGGGACAATAGCAACGGTGTCCCTGACAAAGTGGGTGGAATGAGCTCCCAAGGGCGGTGGGGAGGGCAAGCAACTCCCTCCTCTCTTCCAACAGGAAACAAGGAAGATACAATCGGCAAGTTTATACACTTGGCTACAAAGAGAACAAGGACTGACTACTGCTGACATACTTTCTTTGTGAGGTAAAATGTTACATGATGTGCTGATGGTGGAAGGGAGGAGGTCATAGGTGTGGGATGTGATAGTGAAGATCTGAAATGGCTTTTACAGTGGGAGGAAGATAGCTAACTAGAGAGGTAGTACGACTGCCAATTATCCGAGTACCATGTCAAGTTCATAACCATGGCCTGCTGAGTATTTGACTGTTTCTCTAGGAGAATACAATATGTGGCTTTGTGACTGACTTGTTTCATTTTGTATGTTTTCAAGGTTCATCTATTTTAGTACATATCAGTTCATTCCTGCTTATGGCTGAATAATATTTCATTACAGCATATAGGTATATCACATTTTGTTTATTCATCAATTTGTTTGGGTTATTCCACATTTTGCCTATTAAGAATAATGATCAAGCCAAACATAATTTCAGCACTCTGGGAAGCTGAGACAGGAGGATCGCAAGTATGAGCTCAGGCTGGGCAATTTAGTAACTTAGACCCTGTATCAAAATGAAAAATAAAAAAGAGTTGGAGATGTAGCTCAGTGTGAAGGCTCTGGTTCAATCTCCAATATTACCAAAAAACAAAACAATAACAACACAGAGAACGAGAAAGACAAGAAAATAATGCTGGCATACAAGTTAATGTACAAGATGTTTTCCTATTCTTACCCAAAAAATCACAAACCCTCAAGAATAATCAGATAAAACAGAATACAATGAGTTCCTAGTTCTTTTTTAAGCAAATCATTAAATATACACTTTTCTAAGAGCTCTGGAGATCTGAGCTGAGTACTAGGTGAAAGGTTTAGTGGCACTATTTTAGCTTCACAAGTTCCTAGAATTCTAGAAGTCCTTGGAATTAAGTATAAAACATTCAAAATGGTGATTTAGGGAACTTACCTGGATAAAAAAAATCTGTTCTGAACATGAGAATGCTTTGGAAAGGATTAAAGTTTACAAAATAAAAAAGATGTGAAACAGTATATTATGATGTAGAAAGCAATTTAATTTGATGTGAATATCACCTATTACTTTGCCCAATTGATGGTCCAATCTGGGCTCCTTATTTGCAAATTTTCCACCAGGCAAAGTGAACATCAAATGTGAATCTTCCTGTAGAAAAGTGGACCTGCCTTTAGTTGTGAAAGGGAGGTACACAAAAGAAACTAACTGGGATTCTTCTCTTGAAATGCTGGGTCATCATGAACTAGAATTAGCTGAAACTCTGACATGTGATAATAGTAATCCACTTGTTTATTGTTATCATAAAATATTATCTGAGTGACATTTGAAAATATCAAAGGAGAAAGCTCGTAGTGATTGAGTTGCACAGGCATTAGAATATATATATATATGTAATATGTATATACATATCAAATATATATTAAAATTGAAATTTCATAATATAAAATAATACAAATTTAACAAGCAAATGCATATGTAAAAGATTTTAATTATAATTGACAGCATTTGTAAATTGGCTGCAAAAGTATAAAAATGTGAAGACTTGTTGATTTTGATAATTTTTTTACTTTGAACTCAATATTAATAATTAATTAAGGAATTAATGAATTTTTAAAACTGATATGTAGTTTTGAAGTTGGTATGATTTTTGCATGACAGTCAAATCAGTTACTTGTCAATGAATCAAAATATTCAGGAAAAGAATTCTTTGGTACATGACTCGGGTCTTCAAACACTTAAATTTGTTTAGAATGAATTAAGAAGGTAAAATCTTTAACTGTAAACTTCTATGAAATCTAACTATTAATCAGATATTTCCAATGAATACGTCTATCCAATTTTGATATATTTTTCAGTGTAAAGTATACATCAGATTTCGAAGTCTTAGTATAGAAAAAGTACACAATATTTGAAAAAATTTTTGTATACTGACTGCATGTTGAAGTATTATGGGTATGTACCCATGAATTATATATTAGCATTACATTAATTTCACTCATTTCTTTGCTTCTTTTAATGAAACTATTAGAAAATTTAAATTACATTAGTAATTTATATACTACTTTTCTTGATATTGCTGTTCTACTATCTTCAATGAGCAAACACAAAACAATTAACTTTTCTGGCACAGATATTTGAAAAATGCAGAACAATTTATTTTTGTCATTAACCTCCAATGGGAAATATTGTACATTAAAAAATGTGAGTGTAGTGTAGCACAGTAAATAAATATATGTAATGGAATTAGTTTATTGACACATTTCAAGGTTGTAGAAAGACAAATAGAAAAATGTGATTCATATTAAAATCAGATGCATCTGGCATTAAAATATGTTACAAGCCAAAGAGAACTTTATATATGATAAATGATAGTAACTCAAATTGAAATGGTTGTCTTCAGCATTTGTTTTCAGGATGCAGAATATTTTGTCATATGATAGCTTTGTGAAAATAAGATAACTTCTAACTTCATATTCTGATTACAGTACATACTATTTACCGCTAATTATTTTCAGTTAGTAAAATATAAATTTTGTAAGACAAGTTTAAGGTCTATCTATTTGGTTAGAAATCTGCCCAGTAATTTGAGAGAAATGATTTTTACAAGAACAACAAAAACCTAAAACAGTAACAATACAGGCTTTCAAAACAAGATGACAGGAATTTAACAATGGTTGTAATAGTGCATATTGATATCTTCAAAAGAGTTGCTTAGATTACCAGGTACAGACAGGCAAAATTGATCTAATCATGAATATTAGCTGGTCTTTTCCAAGAACTAACAGAACTAGTAGTATAATCATCTTAGCTATTTTATGCATCTATGAACAACTTTTTATTTTTTTCCTTTTCCCTTATTTTAGAGGAAAAATGATTTTAAGCCTTCAAATTAACTAACAAATATAAATAATTGATATCTTCTTACTTAATATTTCCTAAAACAAAAGGAAAAACCATGAGTAAAACTTGAAATAAAATAGGGGAAAGGCTAAAAAAAATAAAAGATTTTCAGTTTTGTTTCCAAATAGATAAAATACACAATATTTTCTTAGGCATAGAAATCTTATCTTTTGGAAACTTTGATTTTTTAAAAACCAAATTACTTTTCAAAAATCTTTTCCTTAGGACTGTTATTATTTTTTGGTGTGTGAAATACATTTCAGAGTAATTTGGTTTGTGTTTAATAGATGCAATTCTTTGGAAAAATATAAATTGGAGATTCTTTGTTTAAATTTAAATTACACAGTTCCTAGATTCAAGGATAAATTATTCCTAACAAAATTTTATAAGAATATAATTTTGGTAACTCCTTCATATTAGTCAATGTAAGTATCAGTCACATTGAATTTTATCATTACCTATAGAAAACACACAGTGTATAGTTTGAGAATTACTAGTGAAAAATATAACAAATATACTCATTTTGAAAATTAAAAGAAAGGTTTCTCAATCTCAGTACTACTGACAGTTTGGGATTGGGAATTCTTTGTATGGGGATGTCCTGGGGTACAATATTTTACAATAAATATTTAGCATTATCTCTGGCCTCTACCCACTAGATACTGGTACTCTCTTCCCCTTGTGACAATCAAATTATAACCAGGCATCGTCAAATGACACTTGGGAGGCAAAATCATCCCAGAAGAGAGCCACTGATGTAAAGGAAGTTAACAATTAGACAAATAATGCTGTTGTTTTGCATCCTTTAGTGTAAGTATCAGTAAAAAATTCATGATTATATTAAGCTAAAAAAGTGTGTTCTAAGTTTGTTAGAATATATTAAAAAACATTAACAAATTATTAAGTACTTTGAAACAAGCATTCATAAGGAAAATCCAAATGGGTAGCATGGACTTTCCTTAGCTCAGGCAGCCCACTGAGCCTTCTCTGGTGTACATGTAAACCTCAGAATTGTGTAGCAATCTTTGGTGGTGGGGTGGGTGGTAAGTCAGATCCCATTGCACATGGGTCAGGCGGGTTAGGTAAATCAACAGATATCAATTAAAGATAGGGTGACATTGGCCACCAACTGATTCATGTTCTCTCACTTTCTGCTACACTTCCAAATTCCCAGGTTGTACGCAGATGTGATAGCTGGACTTGCTAAAGAATTATGTTTCAGGCAAACTAAAATGAATAGATAAAGATAGGCCTGTGCAGTGAATAGATATGTAGGGACCAAAGCCAAAGAGGTCTCAAAAAGGGACAAAGCAAAATATTCTTTAGTGCATGCAGGATAAATTGAAGCCCCGGGGAAGAATATTTGCTAAGAACATAGAAAAATAATCTTCTTATTCATCACATGCGATCTTGGTACAATCTATGACAGTACAAACACAGTTGTTAGATATAAGTTCAAATTGTCCTTTAAAGGCATGAGCAGTTGTTCTATAACCAGGGAAATGAGTGCAGAATAGCCACTAAAAGAGAGGGAACACAATTGGAACCAGCAGTCAGCAAGCAGCTCAAACAGGGCATGGTGGGCTAGCTGGCAAGCTAAACCCCAAAGCTCCCTGGGTTTTCTACAACGGAAGAATACAAGTCAATCTCATTTAGACTCAGAGCCAGAGAAAACATTATCACTATCTTTTCTATTTTTAAAAAATTTCTAGCTTCTTCAGTGTTTTAATATTTGCAGTTTAGGTTGGTTTATTTGTTTATGCATACATGTGTATTTTAATTCGTAGTAGAATAATACCTCCAACCTCAAACAAAGCTGGATTTTGAGATGGAGGGATGTAGGTCTCTTAGAAAAGCCATGGAATGCTTCTCTAAATAGAATTGAAGTGTGCTGTACATATACCAACTCCCCACAAGGAATGTAAGCATTATGCGCTGTAAACATGTAGTAAGAAAAAAAGAGAACTCAATCTCTCTCTCTCTCTCTCTCTCACACACACACACACACACACACACACAATAATAAATGAGAGAATCTGTGAGACTAGTGTGAAAAGAGAATCATAAAAGAACAGAATGCTGGTACAACATACACAGAATTCCACAGATTCTCAAGGAATTGGTTACTTGTAAACAAAAGATACATATTTAGTAAGAAGTCAGTCATGACCAATTTTGATGAGTGCTGTATAACCTCCCTAATAACTGCTAGAAGTACAAAGACAGAAAAACAAACAAAAAAGATGTTGGTTTAAGAAAAAATACTTGGATAAACCATCAACCCATATCTGACAGTGTGAAATGTATCTAAAAAAAAATTCAAGGTTAGTATTTACTAAATGATTATAATAAAATGGTGTGGTTTCAATACTGAATGTTCTCTCAAAGGCCCATGTGTTAAAGGCCTGGTACTCAAGGTGAGTATGGCCAGGAAGTTCCATCTTTGGAAGGCAGGCCCTCGCCGGGTTACTGGGTCATTGGAGGTATGTTTTTTTCGACACCTTTCTTATTCTCTCTTTTGTTTGCTGGCCATGAAGTCTGTTCTACTATATATGCCTGCATGATGTTCTGCCTCACCACAAGCCCCAAATAACAAGACCAACTGATTGTAAACTGACTCAAAACTGTAAGTCAAATAAACCATTTCTCTTTTATAATTTGGTCGTTCAGAATATTTTGTTATGGTGACATAAAACTAATAATGAGGTTTCCAATCATAAATCACAAGGAGCAACCCCCTCATGCCTTGCACTGAGCTTAGTAGACTGTTTATCCTTTCAGAATTTTCTGTATCTCTAACCCAAGATTCCTATGAGGCAAAGAGACACAAGACCAGGAAAAACAGAAGGCAGAGATGGTGGTATATGGCTTTGTGATTACTGTTGTAATACACTGAATACATTACTATTATGTCACTGCAGAATCAAGTTGTGTGGTAAAGTACCTGCAAGATGACTGAATTTGCTCATTAAGTAAGAATTACACCCTAAGGGTAAGTTGAATTTACACAAGTAATAGAAAATTAGCTTTCTAATTCCTTTACCTGTTTAGTCAACATAAATACAACTCATAGGCAGTGTTAGTTTGAAAATAAAAAAGATAAATCTTTACCTGGCATTGTCTTTGGTACATTTTCAGTTCTTGTAAAAGCTTCTGATTTTCATCTTGTAACTTATTTCTGCTTAATGCTATTTCACTCACAGCTGATTTTAATTTTTCAATAATGAATTCATCTCTTTCACTGGTTTCACAACCAGGATCTGAATGACATATCAAGCCAGGAACTTCAGAGCTGCTGTCTTCTGTGCACTGTTTCTTACCATGTAGTTGAGTTTGGTAATTCTGTGTCTGTTTCTGGAGAATATGAAAACTGAGTGATTAAATGAAAAAAAAAACCCATACTTAATCTTATATAAAGTTAAGAACAGAATTAATAAAATATTTGAATGTTATCTGATAATGAAGCTTGGCTTGTATAATGCTGTATTATGCTTGTTCTAAAATCTCAATTTCAGATGGTATAAAGAGAAAATACATTTGTATAACTTCAAAGCAAAGTTATTGAACAGGGAAGGAAGCTAAAGGTAGAGTTGTCTTATTAAGAAAAAAATCTGAAAACTATAGAAAGAGAAAATCATGGATTAAAATTCCACAATAGTATCCTCAACCAGAAATAAAACAGAACCTTAGATGGTAGGAAGAAAGCTGTCAACCCATGTTAGAAGATTTAATAATTCCTAATGTATACAGTTTCTACATACCAATTAGGCAAAGAAAAATAAGTAAAATATTAATAGGCAATTCCCAGAAGAGAAAATGAAAACAGCTACAAAGTACATGAAGAGATGCTCAGCCTTAGAAATATGCAAGGAAATGTAAGCAAGCAACTCAAGCAATTATAAACTCTCTCAACTGCCTTCCTTCCTATAGGCATACAAAAACATACATCATTTAAACAATAGGATTTTTAAACGGACAATCATTTCAGACATGTAGACTAAATTCGTCATTGGATCAAGTCTAGTTAATGTTCCTTCATTTAAATTTCTATTTGTAAATGGATTATATGTTGAATGGCAAGGATACCAATATATAGCTTCTAATTCTTCTGAGTTAGAGGACAGTATTAGATAATTTACCTGAAATTGATTATACTTTTCAGATAATATTTTTTGTTGAGCATCTAAAGAAACCAGATGAGTCTGATACAGTATCTCTTGCTTGTCCCATTCTCTTGATTTTGCTCTAAATTCCTTTAAAAATGGTGGTGAGGGGAGACATAAATTGAGGGATATTATTCATTTAAAGCACAATGAGTAGGGCTTCTTTCATTTGTAACTATTTTCTGGTAACAAATCTTTTTTTAATATATTATAAAGAAACCACAAAAGTATCAAATCACTAGTGTTGGGTTTATTACTATAGGCTAAATATCCCCTGATGCATCTGAATATATGTAAAATGAGATAATGTGGAGATAGCACTCAAGTATAAAAAAAATATTTATGTTTCATTTATACCTTATCCACACAGTCTGAAGGTACTTGTATACAGTATTTTTAGTTTACCTATGTTTTGACTGTGACTCATCATAAGAGATTAGGCACAGAACTTTCCACTTGTGACATCATGTCAGTGCTCAAAAGGTTTTGGATTTTACAGCATTTGGGATTTCAAATTTTCAGATCCTCTATAGTCAACATAAATCTTTCAATTTTTGGTATGCAAATGTAAAACTTAATCCTTTTATAAGGTATCAAACATATGATTTATTAAAAATATACAACTTGGTTACTTCTCTTTCATTGCTGGGACAAAATACCTGACACCTAAAATTAGGGATGAAAAAGCTTATTTAGCTTACAGTTTTTGGAGGTTTCTGTTCCTAACCAGCTGGCTCCAAGACAGTGTGACACCATACTGGGGCAACACTTCAAGGCAGCAGCCAGAGCAAAAAGGAAAAACAAGCTTCTTCTCACTTAATATTGTACACAGGCCACCCCCACTCCACCTCCCTTCGGGGCAGGTGTAGCACTCACAAAATCTCTTTGTCTCCCTTTGCACAGGATGAGGGTATTTACAAAGTAAGAACCCTGGCTCCCAGCCCACTGACTCAGTTAAACTTATAAACTACTCAAGTTGACACAATGTATCAACTGTAACAATCCACTCCTTGTCAACTTGGCAATCAGACTTATTTCTTTACATCAGCCTCCAGATACAAAGGCATACTTATTCTTAACTTTTATCATATTACATTAGAAATATAACATTTTGTCCTTGGATCTCCAAAGACTCATGCACAACCCTTTATGTAAAAGGCATTTAGTTCATCTGCAAGAGTTGCCAGAGTCCTAACAGTTTCAGCATTGCTGAAAAGTTCAAGTCCCAAGTCTTCTCCAAGATGGAAAACAAACTCTTAGCTGCATATCCCTGTAAAAATGAAAACACACACTTCCAACATGCACAAGATAAACATTTTCACTCCAAAAGTTACAAACAGGAGGGTACAAAGGATTGGGACAAAAGCAACTCCAAAATCCAGCAGTGCAAACATTAAGCCCTATAATTCCATGTTCACCATAGAGGAAATACATGGAAAACTGTGAGCTCCAAAGGGCTTGTGTGACTCCACCCCTACTGCTCTTCTGGTGGTTACCAATCCCACGGTTTCTCTCCTGGGCTGGTTTGCTCCCTTATTGCAAGTTTCCTTAGATAATCCACATTCCTGGCTTTTCCAGACTTTTGGGGTCCCCAATGCACCTTTGGCTTCACATTCACAACTTCACATATTGCCCTGTCAGAGGCAAACTGCTTGGCCTCCCAAGCCTTCTGAAATCGAGGTAGAAGCCTTTTTAACTTCAGAACTTGTGCATTCTCCATGTACCTAAAACCAGCACCATGTAGATAATGCCAACATCTACTGCCACATGGAGCAGTAGCCAGGATTTCCTCTCTTCTGGCTATGGAGGTTGAGTGCCTAGATTGCTGAGCACTCTGAACCTGATTGTGAGGAAGAGATTCTCTATGCCACTGCCGTTCTGCAACCTCGTGGGGCCTCCACTGCCACTCTGGATCATGGTGCTCAGTTAAACTTCTAAACTTCTCAGGTCGACACAATGTATCAACCATAACACAGCTTACATATCTAAGTTTCTAATAACACATGGTGAGTATGAGTAGGTAGTTTCAAATAACTTTTTGCTTCAACTAGTACTTTATTTCCTGACACAAGCAGTTTTTTCTCTTCTTTTATTCCTTACTCTCCAGTCACTGAATGTGTTCCCCTGCTGAGGCAGGGCTTACACATATGTATCTTCCTCAAAGTCCACATCTGGAACCCTAATGCCCAATGTGATAATATGGGAGTGGGGTGGGGAGGTGATTAGCTTATGATGCTGGAGTCAACTCTTTTAATAAGAGATACGAAAGAACTTTCATTCTTTCTCCCTGATATGTGAGAGACAAGCAGCAGACAGACATTTGGAGGGGCTCTTAATAGAATCTGGCCATAGTGGCACTCTGATCTTGGACTTCCAGCTTTTAGGACTGTGAGAAATAGATGTCTGGTGTGCAACACACGCAGTGTATGGTTAAATGTCATAGCACTGTAAACTAATACTAACATCCTTTGCAGCTCTTAAAGTTACCATCCAAACTGAAGCCAAAATCATCACTCCTGGGACTAGAAAAACCATCTCAAATTTCATTTAGATAGTACCAAACTGAGTTACTTAAGTAGGAAAAAATGGAACTAGTTTGATAGAGTATGCTTAGTTCTTGAAGTTTCTATTCAAGTAATGGAGTCACAGAATGTGGTTATCTGTTCACAACTTGATGTGAACAAAGGATATGGCTTTGGAGGTACCAAAGAAGACTTCTTAATTTTGCCTAGAACTGACCAATGCATTTATCTCTCTGTCCAGGCTGTAAGCAACTTTATTCTCAGGATTATGTATTTTATTACTTTTCTATTGCTTACAGTGGTGACAAAAGGTCAGGTACCACTTATATTCCATGCATTTACAAGCAAAAGCATGGTATTAACCTTGCCTGAAATTTAGAAATTTCTCACTGAATTTTGCAAAGAAAACAACATAGAAATGAACTGTGTAACTACTAAATTCATGGTTATATATTATTGTGTACATACATGGTATATGAATAACCTAATATTCAGATTATGTGGAGGGAAGAAAAACTGAAATTATTACTTGGTTAAAATTTTGTTTTGAAGGAAAAAGGTAAGGAATATATAGTAAAGTAGGGAAATATATATATAAGGTAGCAATTTATAGTATGATAGGTATAATAATTTTGTCACTTAAAATCCATGCCGACATCTACCCTAATATGTCAACCTGAAACATAGTTCATTTGGCCAGAGTGATTTATATTATTTTGAAGATAACTGAAATGATTAGAGAGCAGCTATACTAGAAAATAAATATGCTATTTTAAAGGATGAAAATTATATCTTGCTTAAAATGAGAAGAACATGGTATTTAATATTTTCTAAAGAGAAATGATTTTAAAGAACATTTAGGAAAATTTCCATTTTGTAAATCCATAGTCTCAAAACAATCAGTGAAGGAAACCTATAATTTAAAAAGCTTTTATAGTAATTAAATGTTACCTGAAATTGAGTGATGCTAAGAGAAATTTAGATAGATTACCTCTCTTCTAAACACATATTAATACCTTATGATAGGCTATATTTAATAGGGTAAGTGGAGATAGTCTACTTAAAATTATTCTGACACTCACCAATTTGGAAATGACACACAAGAAACTTTTGGATACTCTTCATCTTGCTTAAACTCACTTAGCATCAACTTGGTGTATATTTATTTCTCCACTCTCCACCCTTTTTGTTGGGATAATGTAAGACAATTTCTTGACCTCATGTATTTTCATCCTTAAATCCTTCACTGTGCACTTCTCCATATCTCCAAAATACCACTCGTATTTTTAAATACCATTTAGTGATGGGAAAATGGAATGTCTGTGAGGTTAACAACATGCCTAAAGGTCATGGGGCGAATAAATGAGTCATCAGCGTATGTTTCACATTTTAAGTGTAAAGCTTTGTTGTTGGAACAATTTATATGTATGTGGTTCTTTCTCCAAGTACACAAAAAGTCAATCAAATGGATAATCGGTACCTTGATCTCCATTTGAGTGAAAGAACATGTTATTTACAGAGTACATCTTTGGGCATCCCCTGTGAGACCAGCATACTTCTAAAGCCAGTCTGGAATTTCTGAGCCAGAGAAAGCCAAGATTAGTGTTATTGTGCATTCTTCTCAAGAGCCAATTCACTCACTGATAGAAATTTTGTAAAGAACTGTACATAAAAAATGTAAAATTCCCAGGCCTTTTAAAGAACAAAGTCCAAGACTTCCTACAAAGTTCATGCAACATGCTACTTTTAAGGCTATAACCCAGGTCTCATTTTCTCTACTTTTATTAAAGATATTTTGGAGCAGAGAACTGTTAATTGAAGAGAAGATAATGAGCAGTGACAACTAGTTAGGAGAAATAGCAAAGAGGCAAGTTTGGGCAGGAATATTAAGAATAAGAGAAAGATACAGATCAAAGATTCCAAAAAGTATCTAAACTTGGTGACTGGGAGGTAAAGAACCATTACCAATCAATGAATAGAGGAAAAAGAGTTCCTTAGCAAGGAGTAGGGATGCTGGAATGTAGGACTTCAGAGGAATGAAAGAGATTGAGTGAGACCATATAAGGGTTAGTGTGGGCCAATTAAAAAATAGTCATTGGGCAGCACCTGGAACCCAACTAAGGTTAGATGATAAGAATTTATAGTAGAATGTATTTTCTCATTTGTGACATAGCTGGGATGCTCAAAAATATAAGAAAGAAAAATAGCTGGTTTGTGTTTTCTAAAGTTGGAAATTAAAAGGCTATAAATAAGTGAATCTAGGACATAGTGAATCTTTCCACAGACTAAGATTTTAGAAGTCCTGGTGACAAGGGTGGCCAAAATTGAAGTTGTGCTATCCCTTTAAAGAAAAACTCTGAAACTTTAAGCCTTGCACTGAAGACTATTTTGAGGCTTCATTGGGATTTAAGTACCTAATAGTTAAGTGGCCATTAAAAGATTTATTAGATATTCCCTTTAACTGACCCCAAGGGTGTCCTTCAGTTTCACTCAACAGCTGCAGTTTCTTTGAACATTTTTTGCTCTCCCAAAATGCTGATATATATAACAGACGTATAAATCAAAGTGATGGTTTAATTCACTAAGTGCTTGAAGTGAAGGTACACTAAGAAAATACATTCAATAAGATTGATCTGTAATGGTGTTTTTACCACAGCTGTACCTGCCACTGTGTACACTAGAAACTAACAGCCCACAAGAGCAACAGTGAAAAGTAATCTTTAATGCGTGCAAACTAAGAAAATGCACCTCACCTCTAATTTCTGGTTCAAATTGCTCATTTCAAAGGGTATTTCTTCTTTGTGAGACAATTCTTTTTGGTGACTTTTGTTTTGTTTCATTTGATGTAATCTCAGTTTTTCAAAGCTGTTGGTTAGTTGGGAAAACTGTAAATAAAAAATAACTAACATTTTACTATTAACAGTTATTTCTAGCTTGATTTCACAATTATTTCTTTTTTGGGTATCTCTTTGAAAATTTAAATCATGATTAGAAAGTGCAGTAAAGCTTAAATGTTCCAATTAGTGAAGATAGAACCAGTTATTAAAACTAAATCATTGAAGCTGAACATAATTCAGCTTTCATGTAAATCTGGGACTTAATTAAATGCACAGTTAAACAATGATTCACTTGGTAAATGTTTTGTTCAGTTTTGTTTTAACTGAATGTTCGCAAAGCTCACAATTAAAAAAAAGTTGTTTTCTTACTTTTATTTAGTGCCATCTTGTGTTGACAGTTTCAATTTCAGTAACTCAATCTATTAAAATACCCAGTTTATAGTTTGTTAAAGAAAATCAAATATTTAACTTAAAAGATAATATCTCCTGTAATTGGCATAGTATATCAATATATGAGAAAATTTCTATATATCTGTTTCAAGTATCTTTTGCTCATACTTTAACGTCAAAATAATTAGATGTTTGCAGGAAGTTACAAAATTGTTATTGAGAGGTTTTCAGTTCCTTTCCCAATTTTCTCCAATATTTATCTCATCAAACTATAACATAAGTACAACTTATTGATAAACTGTGATATCAAAACCAGGAAGATTAGTCCAATATATATGTATAGTTCTATGTCATTTATCATGTGTGGATCTGAGTGACCACAACCACCATCAAGATGTAGACCAGGGCTGAGGATATAACTCGCTGATAGATAAGACCTTATACTTAGCCTGCAGCACTCTGCGTTTGATCCCAAAACAACACCAATGAAAAAAATACAGAACTGCTCCTTCCTGCATTCTATCTGTTTAGAGTCACGCTATACCCCTCGGCTTCCTACCCCTCACCCCTCTTTTGTATCTCTATACTTTAATTTGCTTTCTATGCCTGTAATTTTGACATTTTGAGAGTTATGAAATGAATTCATGTAATATATGAACATATATTTATGTAATATGTGATCATTTGAGACTGAATTTTCTTACTCCACTTTATATCCTTGAGATACAACAGTTAGTGCTGTATTACATTTCATGCTATAAATGCATCAGTTGTTCGACTATTCACATATTAAAACATTTTGATGGTTTCTAGTTTGGGACTATTACAATAAAGCTATAATTTGTGTTTATGTTATCTCATTTGAAGTACCCAATTCTGCTTTCCTTTTTCTCATATAATTTCTTCTGCTGAGATATATTTCACTGGTTTTATAAATTAACCTGAGTAAAATTCCAGCACATGGATACATCACACTTTATCATTCATCAATTGATGGACATTTGAATTGCTTTCACTTTGGATATTATGAATATGCAGCTATGAAATTTGTATTAAGTCTTTCTGTGGACATATGTTTTCAATTCCCTTGGATGCATACCTAGGAGAACTGCTGCATGATACAGTAGCTATAAGTTTAAGTTTTTGAGGAACAATTTTCCAAAATGACTGCACCATTTTCATTCATACTCAAAATGTACAAGGTTCCATATCCTCACTAACACTTATTCTTGTCTGTCTTTTTTATTATAGCTATCCTAGTTGTATAAGGGGAATGTCATTGTAGTTTTGCTTTGCATTTCTCTAAAAAACAATGTTAAACATTTCATATATTTGTCAATCATTTGTAAATCTTTTGATAAAAGTTTTTTCAAATTGTTGTCTATTTTAAAGATCAGTCATTTGGTCCTCACTATTGACCAGTGCCATGATTTGGATATGGTCTAAGTGCTTCTTCACAATACTCATGTGCCAGAATCTGGGTACTAAATATGACAATGTTGAGTCAGAACCTTTAAGAGGTAAGGTGTCATGGGAATAGTCATTAAGTCCCTGTCCTAGAAAGAGATTAATGAAGTTCTTGTGGGACCTCAGTTTGTTTTGAGAGATCAAGTGTTAGAAAAGATCAACACTGGCTCCTGAGTCTGAGCTTCTGTCTCAGCACATCAGCACTGACACACACTCTGTCTTGTGATGCAAGCCCATGCTGTTCCCTGACCAGGGGGTCTCTCACTTGAGGCAGAGAGGCCACAAGATTGCCTGATTTTAGACTCCAGCCACCCAAACTCTGAGAGCCATAAACCTCTTTATAAAACACTTCAGGTATTTTGTTACAGAAACAGACAATTGATACAACTAAGGGTTATTTTCATATTCTACATGATTTACAAATGTTATCTTTGATTTACAAATGCTATATCCTTTCTCCTATGTTGACAGTATTATTTGAAAAAAAAATTAAAATTTCGATGACGTCAAACTTCTCTAATTGTTGTTGTTATTTGTACTTTTGGTGACACATCTAAGAAACCATGACTAATTCAAGGTCCCAAATGTTTACTCCTGTATTAAGTTTATAGATTTGATGTCTACATTTAGAACTTTAAGTTAATTTTTGTTTGTGAGTTAAGGTAACCTTTTTTTTTGGCATGTGGTTATCAGGTTGTCCCCATACAATTGTTGAAAACACTAATCTTGTTCTGTTGAATTACTTTGGCAGCATTTCTGTTTAATTGTGATTAATATTTGCATGGTATATTTTTTCCATTTTCTTACTTTCAATTTGACTATATAGTTACATTTGAAGTGATTTTCTGGGAACAGGTTTTTTAAATTTTTAAGTTTTTTTAATTTTAAAGATAGTAAAATCCAACAAAACAAGACAAAACAAAGCCAATCAAGACAATGCAGTGAAACTGGTACAGAACTTCAGAGCAGGATACTGGGAAAACCATAATAGCTTCCTAGATGTCTTAGTTACTTTATGCTCGTCACTGAGACAAAATACCTGAAGCCCAAAGTTGGGAAAGGAAAGGTTTATTTCTTACAGTTTTTGGAGGTTTCAGTCCACACTCAGTTGGCTCCGAGACAGGCAGGCATGGCTGGGCTGCAGTTCATGGTGGCCGCCCACAGCAAACTCGAACCAGCAAAGAGAAAGGCACACCTTCTTCCTGCCATTACATTACATCCTGGCTCCACCCCTATGTGGGTGGAGCACTGACACCATCAATCCAAGCACTATACAATGAACCATCACAAATGAACAATGCAAACTCATGAGGCCTGGGGGACACAAACACAAACCATGACATTTCACCCCTGGCCCCCAGGACTCATGTACATCCTTTATACAAAAGACATTTAGTCCACCTCCAAGAGTTGCCAAAGTCCTAACAGCTTCAACATTGCTGAAAAGTCCAAGTCCCAAGTCTCCTCCAAGATCTATGGCAAACTCTTAACTGTAAGCTCCTGTACAAAAGAAACAAGGTTAAACATTTCTGAAATGCAAAGGCACAAGATAAACATTACTATTCCAAAAGTTACAAACAGGAGAATAGAAAGCATCCGAAACAAAGCAATTCCAACATCCAGCAGGGAAAACATTAAGTCCTAGAGTTCTACACTCAGCATCTGAAGCAATCTGGCTGCAAGTTCCAAAAGCCTTGGGTGATTCCACCCCCAGGGCACTTCTGGTAATTTCAACTCCTGCAGCTTTTCTCTTAAATCTTCTCTGCTCGCTTTTTTGCAGCTTCCCTTGGATCATCCACATTCCTGGCTTTTCCAAACTTCTGGGGTCTCCACTGCACCTTCGGCTTCACCTTTACATCTGCACAAATTGCCCTCTCAGGGGCACACTGCTTGGCCTCCCAGGCCCTTTGCAATAGAGGTGGAAGCCGTCTTACCCCCAGAATTCGTGCATTTTCCTTGCACCTAAAATTAGCACCTTGTGGATGCCGCCAAGGTTTGCTGTTAGCTGAAGCACTAGCCAGGCTTTTCTCTCTCTTGGCTGTAGGGGTCAGTTGCCTGGATCGCAGGGCTCTGTCTACCTGATTGTGATGAAAAGCTTCTCTGTGTTGCCGCCATTCTGGAACCTCACATGGCCTCTGTCGCCATTCTGGGAACTCACATGGCCTCTGTCGCCCTTCTGGGACATGGCGCTTGGCAGCTTTTCCCTCTGAGTAAATATTTTCACCTTTGTTGTGAGGCTGTACAGGGTGGGGACCTGCTTCCTGGGATGCCCTGGGGCCATCTTTCTTATCTCTCTGTTTCTCCTCAGGAATCAAAATCTCAACTCTGTCTTTACAATCCACACCCTTCCTGGAATCTTCCTTCGGGCCAAACTCAGTATTGGAAATTATCCTGCTGGGCTCTTTGCTCCTGATTTGAAGCATAAAGCTGGCTAAAAGCTCCCAACAATAGCCATGCCACAGCCTCAATGTTCGATTGCTTTTTAATTTCTTTCTCAAGATTAATCAGTCCATTGCCCTTTATCTCAGTCTCAGGCAAAGTCTCTGGGCAGGAGCAAAATGCAGACAAACTTTCTGCCAAGCCATAACACACATCATGTGGAGTCCAACAACCAATGCAGTCCTTTCCAGCAGGAACCTCCCAAGCCTGGTCTTTACCAAGAGGCTTTCTATCATCAGCCTTCTGGTCTCCTGAGCTCTGACCAGAATCTCCTCTACAGAACAACCTAAGCCGCTCCAGCTCTATGCATCCAGGCAACATGTCCAAACCTTTCCAAACTCCGCCCACAAGCCATTTCCAAAGCCTCTTGAAAAACATGGCCAGGTATAGTCACAGCAAACGACCCCACTCCTCGGTACCAAATTTCTGTCTTAGTTACTTTTTACTCATCGCTGAGACGAAATACCTGAAGCCCAAGGCTGGGAAAGGAAAGGTTTATTTCTTACAGTTTTTGGAGGTTTCAGTCCACACTCAATTGGCTCCGAGACAGGCAGGCATGGCTGGGCTGCAGTTCATGGCGGCCGCCCACAGCAAACTCGAACCAGCAAAGAGAAAGACACACCTTCTTCCTGCCATTACATTACATCCTGGCTCCACCCCTATGTGGGTGGAGCACTGACACCATCAATCCAAGCACTATACAATGAACCATCACAAATGAACAATGCAAACTCATGAGTCCTGGGGGACACAAACACAAACCATGACACTAGAGTACATCTTGTTATCTTCACAGTAGTTGTCCATTCCATCAGGTATAACAAAATCAAACCAAAAAAAAATCCAACTATAAAACCAATCAAAACAGAATATTGAAAAAGGAAAACAATCAGAACAAAGCAAAACAGAACATTGGATTTCTAAGACAAGATAGAAGGAACTTCTCTCATATTTGCTATGTTGCATACTGTCATCCTCTCAAAAGATGCTCAGATTACTGGCCCCAGGTCAGCATAATCAACCAAACAATATAAGCATTTAGCTGCTTTCTGCATCTTAGTGTCTATCAACTCAGACTGTTCTTGAAACCATCCAGTTCTAATGGGGGGCAGGGAGACAGTGTTTGATTCTCAGCCTGTGTACCAGTAGGCTCACAGGAGATACTGTCTTTTCTCTTTCTGGAATGTGCATGGCTTGCATAGCTTACCAAGAAGGCTGGCTAGTTGATTTCCTGGTTGGTCCTCCAAATCTCAGCATGGTGAATTCTTAGGAGATGCTCAGGAATCTTTTAAGGCTGTACTTTTTGTTTTGCTTTGTCCTATTTTGTCTCCTAGTTTTTATTTTTTATTTTTATTTTGTTATTTTCAGGTTACTTAACACCTGTTAGGATGAATTTTTACTTATCTAATAATGATTTGAGTGTATCTTTTGTATACCTTTTTCAGTGATTTCTGCAGGTATTAAATTATACTTGCATAATTTATCACAGGCTAGTGGTGCAGACAGTTTGCCAGATCAAGTGTAGAAACCTTACTTTGCTCTACATTCCTTTACCCTGCCCCATCTATAACACAGTTATCTTATTTTCTCTACATACATTGAGAACTACATTAAACACTGTTATTAATTTTTTACTGTCAATCAATCAAGGTGAGTTAAAAGAAGGAAAGCATTTTGTTGTTACCCATGTTTTTACCTTTCTCAGTATTTGCTCTTCCCTTCAAGATTCTCAAAATTCTTATTCATTTTTACTTGTTTACTTCTTCTTAGTACATATTTGCTACACATGCTTACCTTCATCTTAGGGAGTAGATACATATATTTAATATATATTGATCTATTCCGCCTTTCCCCCCACACTGTCTCTAGATCCCCTTCTCCCATTTTCATTCCTATTACTTAGTTCATGTTTACAACATACAATGATGCCATTCATTGTGGGTAGTTTGTAAATGTACATGACATGCTTTAAATATCCTTTATGTTCTCTTTTCCTTTTGCCCCCTACTCTCACTCAGTCTCTTGGTCCCCTTCCTATTAGTATAAGCTCTATCTCCCTGTTTCCTTTTATCAACTTTGGACCTTTATTTATACTTTGGATTTCTCATTAAGAGTAAACCATATGGGATTTAAGCTTGTTTATCTAATGTATTTCACCTAACATTGTTTTCATGGTGCATCCATTTTCTGACAAATGTCTTGAATTTATCCTTCTTTATATTCAAGTAGTATTTTATTACATATAATAAGATGTTTTCTTTATCCATCCATTTATTGAGGGATGTAACAGGATGTTTTCAAGACTTAGCTATTATGAATCGTATTGCTATAAAAATTGGTAGCTAAAGATTCAGCTCAGAAGCATAAGTGCCTGTTTGGCAAATGCAAGGTCATGAGTTCAAGCCCAGTATCACCAAAAAAAAAAAAAAAAATCGATATGTATCAACTTCTGTGAGTCATTCTTTTAGTTTACATCCACTGATGACAAATGCTTGTAGTTTTCCTTCATTTGACAATGTCATTCCATTCTTCATTCTTAAATGATATCTTTACTGCATATAGAAGTCTGGGTTGATAGTTTTTTCTTGAAATACACTGTACCATTTCTTTATGGCCTCCATAGTTTCTGATGAAAAATCTATTGTTATCTGAGTTGATTTTTCCCTACAGGAAAAGTGTCACCTCTCTTTTACTCCTTCTAAGTTTGTTGTAATATGCCCTGCTATAGTTTTTTTGGGTTTATCAACTTCATTCAGTTTCTTGAATATATTTTGTCAAATTTTTGAACCTTTGAACTATATTGGAGGCCTATATGTGACTTAATGAGACGCTATCCAAAGGGCTGAAGATGTATTTTATTGTGAGGGTGCTGAGTTCAATCACCAGTACTACAAATACCACCACCAACAAATTGATTTTTAATAAAAACACACTTCTGTAAGTCAAACACAAGTATCAAAATGTGTAATAGAATTGTAATAAGTTTCCTTACTTGAGCTCTTAGAGATTGCAGTTGTCCTTCATAATTCTGAGTCATTGCTAAATTACATTTTTCCAGACTGTCCAACTTCTGCCGAAGTAACCCTACCTGTGTTAACAATAAAATTTTATTTTATTTTTCTAAATTTTGCCTGACAAAACCAGTAAACATGCAAAAGATAAGCACAATTCAAATAAAACTGCTATCCCCAGCCAAGAATAAATATTTATACTGCAGTTTTTAAAACTGCTATTAATAATTAAATTCACAAAAACAAACACTAACATTATCCCACTCACTACACCTTAATATAGCATGGTATGAATACTTAACAAATGATTCTTGTCACTATCACATTAAACAAAGATTTAGAATTTACTTTGCATTATCTTTTTGGGTGGCTATGTCATTGTTACTCAGGTAAAATCTGCTAACACAATTCAGTTCTCTCCTTTCCTTCCCACTCTCCACTGCCTGCAAGGGGAAGTCTGTTTTAGTAGTACTATGAATAACTGCTACATTTTAAACAGGAAATAACATTTTTTTAAAAAAGGATATCTAAGAAATGTTAGGAATTTAGCTTGTTCAGTTGGTCTGCTTTAAAAAGTAGGTAAGACTCCTGTTTACATATCTGTGCCATTATAGGTGTAAAAGAGACTAATCCCTTGCTTGTAGAAGGACTGATGACCTGTATGCTATTGTGAAGGGAAACTAGTTACCAACAGCTAAATTAACCACACCAAACAGTAACATACTTAACTATGTAAAAAACCAAGTTGCACTGAAATACCAATCAAGGTATAGAAAATGGCTGTAGTGAGATAATTGATGATGATGTTTTAGAATATGATTAACAAAGTGACTTGTGTCTTTCTTAACGAAATGTCCAGAGACACAAAAGTCCATATTAAATAATGTGTATGGTTGTCCTGCCTTTTCAGGCCTGAGAGCACAGGTTCCAGCAGCGGGCAGCCAGCCCCTTTGGACCTGAGAAAATACCTCCACGGCGGGGGCCTCCCATGTACACACACGCTTGGCCAAACTCTGTTCTCTCTCCTACAATCAACTTTTACACCTCATTGTCAGGAAATATTTTTCTAACAGATTACAAGAGACAAATGCCCCTGAACTCTGTCTTACTATATAGGCTGCTGAAGCCCGCATGCCTAAACTCTACCTTGAACAGACACAATTTTGATAATCACTTATTCTGTTTCTATAGCAGCAAAAGCATTCATATCTTTGTTTGCAAAAATATTTATTTCACATATGTATTAAACATTTACTTTTATACATGACATTGATAGTCTGTGTCTCTTTATCAGTAAATGTCTATGGACTTGATCTCTGCCCTTATTTCATTGAATACGTATAGGATACTATGCAATAAATGCTGTTTCTAGTTCCTGAGAAAAAGCATCTATCATGAAAAACACATTATGACAGAATAACACCATTTTCAGGAGTCTGATGAATTAGCAACTTGTTAACTCATGTATTCAGTACCTCTTGACCTTTCTGATCCAAACAAGTTTGTGCATTTGCCAACTCTTGATCGCGAAGATCTAATCGTGTCTCCAAAGCCCTCATCTTTCTTTCCCAGTCCAATTTTTTGTTGCTCACCATGATGTCAATTTGTTCCATTAATTCCTGAAGCTCAGCCTCACAAGGAGAAGCTCTGAAAAATGTAGAAAAGTCAAACACATTTTTAAAAGAGTGAAAAGTAAGGACAAGAATAATTTTGACATTTTTTGCACAGCTTTATTATTTCCTTAAATAGTTCAACTATTTAAATAGGAAGACGTTCAAAGGTAAAGGTTAAATTACAAATTAAACTAAAAGTTGACTTCACAGCTAAGAGTTATGTATACTTAATTTTTAAAGTGCCTTTTTTAAGAAGAGGTTAATTCCATGACATATGCTATGAAAAATGCTAAGATTTATCTGAGGTATCAGTGCTCTTACAAGTAAACATACATGTACCGAAGTCTGCTGTGACTTGAAGAGGTCTGACAATAGCAAACTGCAACATTCTGATGCCTCTCAAGGATAGGAGGGCAAGGAGGGGAGGGGAAAGACGATCAGGAGCACTAACAGCTGTGGTCCTGTTCCTCAAAGAACTTGGCAGGACCTCTGTCTGGGAGGAATTTATCAGACGGATGCGTACAGCACAGAGTAAATCTTCATACCATGGGAACACGGCAGGATCTTGGGCCTAGGAAGGTACACTGAGTTTGAAACAAGATTCGTGGTAACAATTAGGGTTACAGAGGCTGAACAGTGGTGAGAGGACAAAGGTGTTCCCGGTACAGGGTCCTCCTTGGGAGAAGCTGAAAGATTCCTCAGGGAGCTGACAAAACAGGTAGATTTTGAAGCCTCAGACTTCAGCCTAAGGGACATACAAATGTCCAGATTAGGTCAGTGAGTTATTTCAGTATTCATTTCAATGGTGATGATCAGGCTTCTAACATATTTGTGTAGCAGGGAGGAGGGCAAGAGGGAGAAGCAGGTGCAAAATGATAACATTTCCTTCATTTAGTTTTTCCAAATCAAGATTTCAGGGCTAATTAAGGATCATTTAGCATTTTGAAAAGATGGAGGCCCACAGAGGTCCAAGGTCACACAGCTGATTCATGGAACAGCTAGGTCCTAAGCAGCTGCTCGCCATCTTACATGCCTTCCTCCCCTCTTATGGTGCTTGAAAAATACACGCACAAATTTGCTCTATTGCAGTAAGGCAAGAAACAAGTAAGAAGATACAAAATAATTCAAAATTTCAGGAATCACTTCTAAAATACCCAGCATAAACCTGACCAATCAATGTCCCTTAGTTTGTTAGAAACACATTGACCAGTTTTGCATCAGAGAGATGTTAAGTACAAAGTGCCACTTTTGAAGTTTTCTTATAGCATCCTAGACTAAGGCCTAAAAATCTAAAACAAATCTGAGGAAAGGAAATATACTAATTCTTCTATAAAAAATTTCATTGATTTTTAATTAGAATTATGATGGAGCAAAAAAGAATATAAGTATGGCCCAGTGTTCTTGTACCATTTTTTTTCTTTTAACACATGTAACTCTTACTGTACATATATTGGGTTTTTCATTAGTTTTTGTTTTTTGCTAGTGTAAGTTCTGAAAGAAAGAACTTTAATAGCCTTGTTCATTACACACGAGCACCTAGTATGGTGCTCCAGTGAGGTTCAATAGATCCTCAATACATATTTAAAGAATGAACAAATGATTGATTTTCATTACTACCTCCTTGGCATGTGGGAATGGAATTAAAATACAATCTACAAAGCAGACTTTGGACATAATGTAATCTACTTATTGCCCAGTCAATATTATCAAGCAAATGAATAAATGGTTTTATTTCCTGGTTGTGCCTATGGTATGCAAAAGCTCTTCCAGGATAGGGGGCATCTTATAAGCTATCCAATACAACACATGTCCAGTGTGTGCATTCCATCCATAAATATTTCATAAGTACTGATTTGACTAGGACTGAGCCCAAGATTCTGCACTGATAATAAAGATATCACTTTGGTCTCACAAACTCAAAAGTTCGTGATCTGTTCTGTGACATCTCTGTAAAGAGGTCATTCAGCCTTGATTTGACTTATCTTTGTAACAAGTACCCACAGCGTGAGATTGTATCTAGATAACAATGAATTTTAGGAATTTTTTTTAAAAATCAACAATTTTCCCACCACTGGTCTTAATTTGATCTACTCAGATCATTCAGAACTTAAACCTTAAAGTATTTAAATATAGTTTTTACTGTACCTTATCTTCTTTTCTCAGTGGTATTAGAGGCTGAATATACAAATGAATTAAGATCAGACCTTATGTTCGTATATTCTAACCTGCAACTTAGGGAACAACCAGTCCAGAGGGCCAACCCACAAAGTCTGCAACCATCATCCCCAAGTGGTCAGAACTCAAGTCACTGACTGCCAATTTCCTTGGTTTTTGCTCACTTTCAACTCAGAAGCAACTAGAGAAGGCTAAATATATTTTCCCCACTGGTCACATACGATGCCCGCTTCTAATGACCCAGCCTCCAGTTTCCCTATGCCATGAGCTTCAGTTGGAGCAGACCTGAAACCTTCCCTTTTTTCCATTCTACATAAAGCTTTCCCTCTTGCCCACTTGCCTTGGATTCTCTGCCAAACACAGTGTTTAGTGGGTGATTCCCTTGTTCCCGGAAGCTGGAACAAATGGCCTTTGCATATTCTTATTTGAGTGATCACTGCTTATATCCAAAAATATCTTTATTTCCTTTGATTGTTCTTATTTTTTCCACTGCTCTATTCTCTGCACCCAGTATATTGCCTAGAAAGTACTTAATTTTTGTATTTGTTAAACGAACGAGAAACTGCATGACTATGGTAAGATTTTTAGACTCTTTGTAATCTTAGTGGCTCTCCTTTGAACAAATTTTTGTTTGTTGCTTTCCTCCTTAAAATGTACCATTCGGGACTTTAACATAACAGAGGGATGGTTGGGTTAGCTCTGGAGAGGGACTCACATTCTTTGTTTTCAGTGTCAGATACTTATATTCCACCAAGGAGATCACATTTGCTTTGAATTTTGAAGGAGGAAGAATATAGCAATGATATACTGTTTAAAAGTGAATTTATTCTTGTCTAAACCCTTCTTCTTGTTTTACCTTTCTTTTTTTTTTTATCGATACCGGGGATCGAACTCACGACCGTCTGCTTGCCAGGCAGGTGCTTATGCCACTGAGCTAAATCCCCAGCCCCAACCCTTCTTCTATATACATGATATGAACAAACTATTTACCATCTTGTGCTGTTTAGTTTCTTAGGGAACACTCAAAGGCAGGATTTTATCTTTGCTAATTTCATCTCAATAGTTTTAGCTTCTCAGTGCAGATCACCATCACTAGTTCTTTCAACAAACATTCATTAATTTTCATGTGAGGTGCTTAAGACCAATTGGCTGTGCATAGAGACTAATGGGGAAGGCAGACAGGTAGGCAGGTGGGCAGGTGGAGTAAACAACTGATGAATATATCCCAAGAGTCAGACAGAAAAGGGGCACTGAGCACCCACTTGGAGCAGATGCAGTACCACAAAAATCTTTTTTTTTTTTTTTTTTTTGGTCTTTTTCGTTTTTTATCGGTACGAGGGATCGAACTCACGACTGTCTGCTTGCAAGGCAGGTGCTTATGCTGCTGAGCTAAATCTCCAGCCCCTTACCACAGAAATCTTAAATAAGGTAAATCAGAGCTCATAAATTTGGGATCTTTCTTTCTGTCAGAGAATATATTCACTGTATCTCCCAGTTTGGTATGAGCTGCAGATTTGACAAGTATTAACTGTTTTATATACATATATTAGTGTATCATTTACACATAAATTTAATGTGTGCATATAAAATATGCATCTATAAAGCATAACTAACACACTATGTATGTGTGTGTGTATATATATATATATATAGATAGATAGATAGATAGATAGATATAGATAAAGAATAGAATGGAGACAGAACCTTATGTCACTCCCCACCAAGCTCTTCAGGGTAAAAGTGATCTGTTGATTATTTCTTTTATTATGATCAATCATTAATCCATTTAAACATCCTTACAATTTTTTTCTCACAAAAAATTATGAAAGGCCCTGTAAAATACCGTGTTATGTTTCTCTAATGCACCAACACATTAACCTGTGAACAATGGAGGTTGGTCTAGTGAGCAGTGGGTGGGGATGTCCACACTGAGTCCTGTGGCCAGCGCTTCTTTTTCTAGAGGCTTACCTAAGATTTGGTCAAATTCAATTTTACATCAAACTCAGATTTTTGTCAAACTTAATATTCTCTTCTGAAATTCAGTTGTCCAACCTTCTAGTGTATCTTCTGTTCTTCAGTTTTCCAGAGATAATTACTTGTAGTTCACCTAGTAATTATTGCAATTATTATTGCCCCACTTTAAAATAAAACTAAAGGCTTGGTTTACCCTTCACATAGTTGGGCATTAATATTCTTTATTTTTATGCTCATTTCCTCTAATCAAATGCCAGCTAACTCTATGCTGAGTATTTTTCTGCACTTTCTCTCATAGATGATCCCATTAATTAAAGTTAATATTTAGATTTACTTAAAACATGTGAACATCAGTCCTTACTATTGGGTTTATCACTGGGAGCAACTCACAAGAGAATCGTGGGGTCAGGTAAGATTGATTCTTTAGTATACCGGGCCAGAAGAAAGGGGGCACACTGAGACCCACAGGGCAGCAGAATAATAATAAGGGGAGCACAATTAATATATCAAGATATAGAATATCAGAATAGGAAATTGATAACATTTAGGATGGTAGCAGTGAAAAATGTGTTGAAAGAGTTGAGGGGAATGGGGGAAAGTCACTTTGGGGATAAAAAGCTATTTATCCCATTTTTAAGTTTTATTTGTTTTTTTTTTTTTTGGCTGCTGAGTTCCTTATATATTCTAGATATTAACCTTTTGTCAGATGTACAGTTTGCAAATATTCTCCCATTTGTAGGTTGTCTCTTTGTTCTATTGTTTTCTTGACTATAGAGAAGCCTTTTAGTTGTCAATTTTTGTTTTTGTTGCCTGGGCAATTGGGGTCATATCCAAAAAAATCATTGCACAGGTCAATGTGTTTCATGTGTTTCAATGAGTTTCACTTATGTTTTCTTCTAGTACTTAAGTCTTTAACCCATTTTGAGTTGATATTTGTAACCGGTGACAGACAGCAGTCTACTTTTATTCTTCTGTATGTCGATATCTAGTTTTGCCTTTGTTGAAAAGACTGTCCTCTTTCCATGTGTGCTCTTCACTCCTCTGCTAACGTCTACTGGCTGTAATGTGCAGGGTTGTTTCTGGGCCATCTATTCTGTTCTGTTAATCTGTATGACTTCCTTTATGACAATGCCATTCTGTTTTTATTACTACAGCGTTGTAGTTAATATTTTAAAGTCAGAAGTGTTAAAACCTTTTGCTTTGTATTTTTGTTCAAGACTGCCTTGGCTACTCAGATTCTCACTTCTAAAAGGAGGGCTATGACCAAAAAATACAAAACAATAACAAGTTCTGGTGAAGATGTGGAGAAAGGAACTTTTATACAGCGTTGACAGAAATGAAAATTAATATATCAACCATACAGAAGAACACAGAGACTTCTCAAAATGTGAAAATAAAATTACTGTATGAGGCAACAATCCCAGTGGTAGGTATATGCCCAAAGACAATGAACTGAACATGGCAACCCCCATGTCTATTACTATTCACAATAGCTAGGATATGGAATCAACCTAAATATCTGCCAATAAATGGACAAAGCAAAGGTGATACCTATAAAGGAATATTGTTCTACTATAAAAAACAGTCATTAGTGAC